ACACAATGGTTGTTCTCATGAGCTTTGGCTGATGTACATTAACAGCAGGGTGAAAGTTAATGATCGGTTGGATGCATATAATGATGCTTTGAGCATGCTTTGCCAAAAGAAATTGATATGTGACAAGGAACAGAAATACAGAAGCGCCTGTGTCTTGGACATTTTCTTGCAGATGGTTGATTGCTTTTGTATGTGTGGTAGTGTAGAGAAGGCTGTTAGGAGAATTTATCAACTTTCATCTGAATCTGATTCTGAGCAGTCTGGTGACACAGTGCTTGCAGAAATTCTTTCGTGTTTGACATTTCCTGATCAATGCATATTTTGGATTTGTTGTATATATTTAGTAATGTATAAGAAACTTCCACAAGAAATTATACAGCATTTTGAGGTGGAGAAAGATCTTCCCTTCAGTATTGACTGGCCTTTCGTGCAGCTAACAACTGATGAAACAGACCGGGTAGGAGAACTTATGAAATTTGCTCTACAAAGAGTTGCTCTTGATGTTGATGAAAACCATCAGAAAAGAGACACAACTGCTCTCAGATCTTTGCACTTCTTAGCAGTTAGTCATGTTAGGTTTGTAACAGCACTTAATGGTTTTCATCGATCAGCTGAATTATTAGTCAAATACATGGAGTTGTACCCAACCTGCGTCGAACTTGTTCTTTTATCAGTACGGTTACAAGAAAATGGTAAGACTGATGTATTTTGGAGAGGGTTTGAGGACATACTATGTAATTGGCCTAAAGAAGTTCCAGGTTTTCAGTGTCTTTGGAATCAGTATATAGAACATGAATTAGTAAAAGGAACTGATTGTGCAGAAAAGTTAATTGACCAGTGGTTTCAGCAATTTGGCGAACTCATTGATCCTCAGTGTAGAAATTTAGAGGGTAAGGATGCTGATTTTTGTAGGTCATCCGAACAGCCATTACTTGTAGAGTCTGCAGGTAGCGATCATACTAACTCAGATGATAAAATGTTTGGGCTGATAAATCTCTCTCTTCACAGGATGTTTAAGAATGATGTTAGAGGAGCTTGTAATGCAGTTGATGAAGCCCTAAAGTTGGCTTCTCCCAAATATTATCGACACTGTTTAAGGGAACATGCAGCGCTATTTCTGTTGAAAGGGTTGAAATCTCCCCATAACAATCATGGTCAAGTTATATTAGATCTTTTAAACATTTATTTTGGTGATACACGTATTTTACCTAGATTGGAACTGTTGTCCAGACGGTATTATCAAAGCATTAAGAAGTCCAGGATAAGGCAGCTGATTGATGAGATCATTGGATCAGTTCCTGCAGATTTTTCTCTACTAAATTCTGTGCTTGAAGCATGTTATGGCCCAACATTTCTTCCGGAAAAGATTGATCCCAAGGATCTTGTTGATTTTGTTGAATCATTAATGGAATTTACACCAGCAAACTACCGGTTAGCCTTGTCGGTATACAAATTCATTGCTAGAAACTACAGTGACTCTGGTGTTGCCTCTGATGGCATTGTGTTCTGGGGAAGCTGCCTTTTAGTTAATTCAATCTTTCAGTCAGCCCCTGTGGCACCAGAAAGTGTATGGCTGGAAGCAGCTGCTCTTTTGAGAAATTCAGAAGTACAGGGAATTGCTGAAAGGTTCTATCAGCAGGCTTTGTCAGTCTATCCTTTCTCTGTTAAGCTCTGGAAATCCTACCTGGATCTCTCCAAAATGACTGAAAATGAAGATGTTGTTACAGAAGCTGCAAGAGAAAGAGGTCTTGAACTCAACACTACTCCAGATTAGTTTTACCATCTGAGTTTTGTTGCACTAACCTGGCAGTTTTTGGTATTTGCACTTAAATTCATTGGCGTGGGCTCACTTGACCGCTTTTTGGTTCAGACTTAATTGGATTCTTTTTTTTTCCCGTTTTATTGTATAAGCAACAAGCTCCATAGATTACCCAGACCATACTCATCTCGTAGAGGAAGTTCAAATTATTAATATGAAGGAAGTCAATCAAATCGCTTCCATGAAAGAGGGGAACTAGGACGACAAAGTTTTTTTTTTTCTTTTTTTTCTTTTTGTTTTAAAGTTCACTTAGATATCCTGAAGAAGGAAAAGTTTGTTTTTGATAATCTGACTCTTGCCATATATGTAATAAGAAATAGTGTAAGCTAACTGTGAGAGAGTTGTCACCAAAGTCTTTTGATAGTCTTGCAATGTATTTCCTGGGGCACATATGTTTTGGTTTTAAGGAAATTTTTGTGCATGTACAGCGTTTACTGCTGAGGCATGTATTCCCTGGTGTTGTTTTAAGTTGGAAACACCCGTTGGGAATTCTACTGTCTTATTTTGGCCATGGTTCTTACACTTCATTTGATTTTGATTTAGTTTGCCTGCGGCCTCTGAAATATGCAGCAATACCTCAGCGGTTGTCGTTTGGATGGCGTGGTTGCTGCCAGGTATGATGTTCTCTTTGGAGAATCAAACTTTTCACAGTTGATGCCATCAGGAAAAGAGAAAAATTACAATCACATATTCGATTTCACCGTCTTTTGTTTGATTGGATTACACTATCTAGTTTCATCTAACTGCATCAGTTGACTTTTTTGTAAATCATGACACTAAAGATTTTGTTATACATGTATTATAGCATAAAAATATATGAAAGTACTTGAAAGCAACATGTACTAATACTGTTCCGACCTTTTGTCTACATAACCAAATTCAGGAGTATGTCGGATGTAGATCCGTAGTCGCCTAGCATCTCGATCCATAGTCACCTAGCGTCTTTAATTCTTTAGATGCTACTACACTTGAAACAGGTTCCAGTGACCATTCTGTTTTTGTAACGTCAAAGACTCTAGAAGCTATATCGATGCAGCAAGGTTAAAGTCCCGACCAAGTAGTGACATGAAGTAAGACATCTTTTGTATGGACATCCTATAGTTTGTTCAGCAGCAAGATAAAACAATCTAAATGAATGATAATTTTTAATTTTTTTTAAATGATGCAAAAAAAATTCTAATGAGACAAAGATGCCGAAAGGATAAATTTTGATTTTTCAAAAAAAAAAATCATATGTAACGGACCACATATATGAAGGAGGGATACCTCAAAACAATCGCTCTATAAGGTTCAATGGATCAAACAAATGACAAGGAATCATCGTATGATCTTACAACTAAGTGTTACGTCAACGAACGCATCGAGATATCACCAGAAGACGACACAGTGCAACAAATAATGATAGAACAATTCAATACAATACAACACACACGAGAGAACTCTCCAAAGAGACTTAATCATATGATGATATGATCGGGAGCTATTGGGAGCTATGTACCACCAATGAGGAATTTAAGGAATGAATGTTATAGTACTATAGAGGCGGATTTTTTTACGCACATCAAATTTTATATCAAACAAAAGCCTTAGTCATTAGCATATAGGTGTTATGTACCACCAAGAAGGAATTCCAAATCAAATTTTACATCAAATAAAAACCATAGTCATCGACATATAGGGGCTATGTACCACCAAGGAGGAATTTCAAATACAAGTACTAACGAGTCACATAAGAGAAACTTTATCATATAGATATATGATTTGAGCAACGGGAGAATTGACAACTCCAAAACTCATATTCACTTGAGAGATCCCAACAAATTGGATGACAAGGCGAGTTAAAACGATGTGATGGATCAAAGTTTGACTACTCAATAACACGGTAGAAAGGAACCACAAGACACATTATAATTTGAGTAGAAAATTAAAGATTCAACAAAGGCAACAAAATACAATGTTCACAAAGACTTTGATGAGTACGCTAAAGGAATTAATGAGACAAAATATCACAAATAAATTTATAAATAAGATGTTTGATGTAATGTTTATGTATATCAATATTTTTCGATTTTGTTCATTCTTTGTATAACATGCAAAGAGCTTACAATAAACCTGATGACATCATTTTATTTACTTTTTGTAACCATTTTAGTCTTGTGAATACACAATATGTGCATTTATCACATAAAGGTAAAACTATCCAAAAACAAACCATTTAAGCATGTCATTTTAAAAATTTTCTAACTCTATAGAGTTGTATAAAATGTTAATCAACACAACTTGCAAAAACTACCAAGATAGCACATGACTAAATGGATCTTTAGGATAGCATCTAAAACTAGTTCACTGTCTTGTTTCACAATAATGTCAAGTGGACACTTGTAAGGCTTTTAATCATAACAACCATCTTGAACCCTTTGTCGTACAGTCATTCAAAGTTTATAAAATTTATGTTTGTAATTTACATTATCTATCAAGTGTTTGCTGAAATAACTATTTATGAAATAAGTTAAACACTTCTTCAAACCTATCTTCTCTTTTATATGTCCTTAAGAGATCATAAGAAATTTTAGGAGGGTTAGGACTAACCCTTTCCGGATGAACACATGTCGCAATACAATACATATTAAACTAGTATATACAACTCATGAAATATCATACCAATTTCTATTGGTACTGCTCATATAGGGCAATAAGTTGGTACTGCTCATATAGGGCAATACGTCAGGACACAATGAACCTAAGTTAGAACAGTAAATAATGATTTGACACTTATGACCAGACCAATATTTAAAACCTTACTTCTATTGGACTAAATTAGTATATACATGACAAAAGAGGTAACCATTCATTTACAAGCTAATCATGCAAGAACCTAAAGAAGCAAAATTTTGAAAATATCAAAACCTAAATCACAATACCCGGTGATCAATGAACATAATTAATACAGCATATTATCTAAAGTAACTCACTTTGATCTCTTAGCAACAAAAGGGGGTATAAATTTACATAACAGCATGTAAAAGTGGATGCCAACATGAATACCAACATCATCAATGAATATGCAAAACTGCAGAACTCAAGTGAAAATGCTAGTTTACCGTTTCCTTCCCATTGCGCTTCTCTTTTCTCCATCGGTCAGCATCCAAACAACGCCCTGAGTACCGGACAAGGCTTCATATCACAGAGAAACGTGCAATGTTATACATATCTTCCAATAGAGCCAGCAGAAACAATTGGAATCGTAATTCAACATGTCTAAGAAAGGCAGGTCACGATATTCTATCTTCTATCATCAAAGACTTATTACATCGGCCGAATAAAAACAGATTCACAAAAAGCATCTTAAAACCCTAACCCTATTTTTTTTTAACGATCCACAAGTCGCAGAGTCTCTAGGAGCTGGTGAATTTGGTGACGGCCTTGGTGCCCTCGGAGACGGCATGCTTGGCAAGTTCGCCAGGGAGGACGAGGCGCACGGAGGTTTGGATCTCGCGGGACGTGATGGTGGGTTTCTTGTTGTAGCGGGCGAGACGAGAGGCCTCCTGGGCCAGCTTCTCGAAGATGTCGTTGATGAAGGAGTTCATGATGGACATGGCCTTGCTGGAGATCCCGATGTCCGGGTGCACCTGCTTCAGCACCTTGAAGATGTAGATCTTATACGTCTCGCTCCCCTTCTTTGCCTTCTTCTTCTTCTTGTCTATGCCGCCCGCGCCGACGCCCTCCTTCGACGGCAACCGCTTCCCTGCCTTGGGCTTCTTCTCAGCGGAGACAGGAGACTTCTCGGCACTCTTCTCCTCCTTGTCATCAGACGCCGGGGCCTTCTCGGCGGCGGCAGGCTTCTTCTCCGCGGGCTTCTTCCCGGCCTTGGGCGCCATGAGAGATGAAGAGAATTCCTCGAGGGATTCGATCGTCAAAGGCGAGAAACATCGGGTCGGTTATGCTATTTATGGAGAACGAGGCTGGTTCCCATTGGACAGCATTTGGAGTCCACGGATCGATGCGATGGACGCGTCTCCGCCGTTGCTTACCTTTTCGGTATCGACGTGGCGATCGACGCAAGGTATGCGGCACAAAATACTGTGGTACCAACCGAGGGACACCCACGGCTTACCTGCCTCGTGATCGGAGACGGGTGGGACCAGATGATTTAAGTGACTTCAGACACCGAGATTTAGGTATATAAATTGGAATTAGAAAAAATATATAATATAAATATAATAAATTAAAGTATATGGAATGATCTCGACCTTTAGATAAATATCCAATAATTGGTAATTCACATGATCTCTATCTTTTGCCCTAAGATCATTTTAAGATAATTGGTAATTCACATGATATCAAAATGATTTTTTTCTCCAAAAATCTTTTAGAGGTGTTGGTTGGTTGGAGCTTCATTATTACCAAATTATCCTTATTGGAGTTTTGATATCTCAAATCTATTTATTTAATCACCTCAATGATAGTTCGAATCTCTTAGTCATCTTTCCTTTTAGTGTAGCTTGATTTGATGATTAAAATTATAGTGAACTTGGTTTGATCTCGTTCTATATATATAATAAATTTTTTCTTTAATTGAAGTTTAGGATTATAATAATATCACAAACTGGTGAAAGAGTTAAAAGTATCTTTACAGCATAACGGAGGGAATTTATTATTAATAATCATGCAACCCAAACTCAAATCTGATGAGCCTCTCTCCATGTGGCGGCACATTCGGGTTACAGTGAGCTCAGATTCCGACTCAGACTCACAAGCAAGAGGAGGGAGGTGACACATGATAATGACATGACCTCACCGTCTCCATCAATGCTTCTAATGCCAAAACATGGACATGAACCTAACCTGAGTCTCAAGGAAAGAAGTCGTTGGACACACGTCAATCGTAATAAGTCTCGATTATGACTCGAACGGTCAATTTTATTATTATTATTTTATTATTAAAAAATAAAATATAAACCGTTATAAATATATATTTTAAATAATATATAAAAAATAAAATTTATGAAATTAACTATTCAAATCGTAATCGAAGCCGTTGATTTCGAAACCGATGATTATGATTTTTCAAACTTAGGAATTGAAATTAAATGGTCTATTCAAATTCAGATCGAAGCCAAAGAACTATTAAATCGATTTGATTTTGATTTCAGTACGATATGATTTGGTTAGTAATTTTTGAGAGAATTTTTTAATTTTTTATAAAACTTCCCTCATTTAGTTATTTTTCTTCTATATTTTAAATATTTTAAAATTAAAAAATATTTTAAATTTTATGAAATATTTTTTCCCATCTTATTATGAAACGGTTAATAAGATAAATCAGTATTTTTTACATTATGTTATATTATCTTAAAAACATCAAAAAATACTATAAATCTTGTAAGAATATTATATTACATTAGAGTTATGGTGCTTAATAATATAATATTAAAAAATATTAGAATATTGTATAAAAACACAAAAATATATATATACATCAGAATTATTCAATATGATCCAAATACTGTGTATAATATTGTGTATTGTCCGGGATGGAAGTCTTTTCATGTAGAAGAGAGTTAGATTTAATTATAAAAAATGTAATATATATATATATATATATATATATATATTGTAGTAAAGAAAAGAGAAACGTCAAGTAATTTCTTTTTTGCGTGCCCATAAATCTCGAAGCGATAAATAAGGCATAAAGATAGCCTAAACATAAAGTTCCAAGCAATAAATAAGGTGCGATAGAAGCTCGTCCTAAGAACAGTAAATGAGGTATATGTAACTTCGTAACGCTACCTGTGAGAGAGGAGAGCAGAGACGAAGTCGAAGCAAAGAACAAAAGTACGAGTCGGGTGTCCGCCGAACGAACGCCTCAATCCTCCTTCCGTCAAATTCTTCGTGCGGTGGTCTCCTTTGTCGTGGAGTGATCAAATAACGATAGTTGAGAGAGAGAGAGAGAGATATATCATTAGAAGAGGGAGGCATAAGGAAGTAGAGGGGGGATGTCGGTGATTCCCCTCCTGCTCCTGGCCGGGGCGGTGACCGCGCTCCACCTCGCCGGGGCCGGAGCGGGTTTCCCGGCGAAGCTGATTCTGGAGAGGGCAGTGCCGGTGAGAGGGGCCCCATTGGAGCATCTCCGAGCCCGTGACGGCGCTCGCCATGGCCGGCTCCTCCTGGGCTCCTCTTCTTTGCCGGCCGCTGGGGTGGTGGATTTCCCCGTTGACGGCTCTGCGAATCCGGCGATCGCCGGGTACCCTTTTTGTATTTCTTCTTTGTTTACGGAGATCGTTATCCATTTCCTTTTTCTTCTGTATCAGACATATCTTCTCCGTCTCGTCTTCTTTAAGGGATCTTTGATTCTTGGGTTTGAAATTGCTTCCAAGCGAATCCACTCGATCGGAACTCGTGTGTTGCGGTTGCTTTAGCATTTATTGGTGTGTTTTTTCTTCCTAATTCTTAGTTTTTCGCTTCTCTTTTCCTCCTTTTCCTTTGACAGGAATTGGTTGTTCCAATGCATATTTATTGTGAGTGTTCTTTTTCTGATATTGTAAATATGCAAAGGAACGATTTTTGTGGCCGAAATAACCAATTGGTGTTTATTCTGTTAACTATGATGTTGAACCGCAGGCTCTACTTTAGTCGAGTTAAATTGGGCAACCCTGCGAAGGAATTCTACGTTCAGATTGACACTGGGAGCGACATCTTATGGGTAACCTGCAGTTCCTGCACCGGATGCCCAACTTCAAGTGGGCTTAATGTGAGGCCTGCTGTTCCTCAGTCTCCTCAAGATGATATTTTTTTTAGATGATTTTCGACAATTTTGTTGGTTTTATTTGATAATGAACTTAGAAGATTTAAGTTTGATGGTATCATATCATTTCGGAGCTTCACAACGGAAAATTATTGCCGATTTGGTCATTTCCTTCTTTGCAGATCCAACTGGAGTTCTTTGATCCTGATAAGTCATCCACATCTACGACCATAACCTGTTCTGATGATCGGTGCTCCTATGCCCTCCAAAGTGGACAGGCATTATGCTCCAGCTCTGATTTTTCGAGTTCACTATGTGGTTACTCTTTCCAGTATGGTGATGGGAGTGGCACTTCTGGGTATTATGTATCTGATATGATGTACTTCGACACAGTTTTGGAGAATGAGCAATTTTTAAATTCTTCAGCCACAATTGTTTTTGGGTAAACTGCTTACAGGAATTCCTAGCTGACATATGCTCAAAAAAAAATTTATTGCCAAAAGTCTTAAGTGAGATTTAAAAAATCGTTCGAATTATCACTTGTATGCATTTTTTGGTGCCTCAAATAATCAGTGAAGTACGAAGGAAAAATTAATTTAGCTTTCTTTGTCCAATAAATTTTGAATCAGGAACTAATATGCCAAACAAGAAGATGACATTCAAATGACAAATTCATGGAGTATACATCTTCTTGTTACTTAAGTTTTGATATCATAAACATGTGATTCTAGGAAAGCAGTATAGTACCAAGCAATGGCAAAACTCACTTCTGGACACTGTAAGCCTTGCTATCTTGCTCATAATGATGCAAAAGATTTCTGTGCATTAAGTTACTTGCCTACTGTAATTTCATTCTAAAAGTTATTTAAGCATCACCCATAGGTAACAAACCAACAAGTGCGTACATCTTTCTTTCTTTATTTTTTCATTTATAATTAATTCAACCCCTAGCTGATAATGTGAAATGTGATTGCCTGAGTTTCTCATAAGTTTGATTACAACAGATGTAGCAACTCGCAGTCTGGAGATTTGACCAAGTCAGATAGGGCAGTTGATGGGATTTTTGGTTTCGGACAGAACGACTTGTCTGTCATTTCGCAGCTCTCCTCTGCTGGGAATTTTCCTAAGGTTTTTTCTCATTGCTTGAAAGGATCAGACAATGGTGGAGGCATATTGGTTCTCGGAGAGATTGTAGAACCGGGTATTGTCTATACCCCACTTGTTCAATCACAGTAAGTGTTCTTCAATAGAACATTTTGGGGATTGCAAAATTCTGCTCATTCATGTGCTAAAATTTAGACTAAGAATTGTAGGATTTCTCATTTTGCTAATGTTAATTGTTTTACACGCATATAGCTATAATTCTTTCATTATATTTGAATTTTTTCTAGATAATATTAGTTTTAATGCTATTTGACTATAAGTCCTTATTTACTTCTCATTATAGTGGCCATAACTTTAATTGTTTTCTTGGAAATTTAATTAAATTTTCGACATTTTATTAAAAGTCTAACATCTGAGTGATATAAGCAACCTGATGCAGGTTCTAGTGTGATAATTCCCTTTATGGAATGTTTAATCCGTTGGTTTCTTGGATTGCAGCCAGTTGGGTGATTACTTGGTTAACATAAGCCTGCTGCATATATCCATTTCAAATGTCTGGTTTCTTTGACATATGAAATGCACTGTCCCCTGATTTAATTATTGGAACTGAAGTCTTAAAGAACTTCGTATCAGTAAATTTCAGCGATTGGGTTGCAATGATGAATATTTGTGATGAAGAACTTCACCAAAGATTTGAGACGTGTATATGTTGAAGTTATCATAGTAGTGACCTACTGATGGTCATTTATGTGCAAAGAGCAGTCTGGGCTAGATGCTTAGAGTTTCGTTTGGAGCTGGATTCAAGACTTGACTATCAAATGCACCTTTGTATAGTTTGTGAAACATTTGAAAATAACTACAATGAGGTTCTTGCTTCAGAATGTAGTAGAACCTTCAGTAGGTCATCTACATGCAAAGAGGTGGATCATGAACCAGATAGCTTAGCTCTTCAAAATCCATTCTGAGCCTGTGTATTTTAATTATCAAAATACACATTTTTGTAGTCTGGTCATCTTCTTAAGGCCAGATTTGGGATTGATTTGTCAATATTGTATTTTTTCGAGACAATTTGTCAATGACAAGTTTAATATGGCAATCATGTTTTCTTTGTTCTTTTCATTTGTGCAACCATTCTTAGAACATATGGACTACAGATGTTAAAGGATAGATATTAAGAATTAGATTCTTACCTTCTTAATTTTTCTAGAAAATTTAAGTTTATCGAGGAGGCACTTTCACTTTGCAGCTAAATCTGCATGAGGAAAATCTGGAATGAGCTTGAAATGAACTTTCAGGGATTTTGCAGAACTCCTGATAGATTTTATGCATTTTTTACGTAGAGAAACACATTAATCTGATCTCAGAATTCACACATTGGTCTATTAATTCTTTAAGTTGGTTGTTTCTTGAATGCTTCCCCCTCTTTTTTCTTTTGCTTTTGGAGACTCTTGTTCTAATTATAAGTTTCTGCAGATTGTAATTGTCTTTCTTTATATTTTAGGCCTCACTACAACTTAAATCTAGAGAGCCTTGCTGTCAATGGGCGGGAACTAGCTATTGACTCCTCACTATTTGCAACATCAAATACACAGGGCACCATTGTTGATTCAGGGACCACACTTGCTTACCTTGCGGAAAAAGCATATATTCCTTTTGTTAATGCAGTATGTTAAATTGTCACTCTTTGAGCTTAAGTATGACTTATTATGAACAATATGTTTTATATACTTTTTTTTATGCCCTTGTAGATACTTGCATCTCTTCCATCTTCAGTACATTCCTTTGCTCTTAGAGACAACGTGTGTTTTGTTACATCTGACAGGTTCTTCCAATTACTATACTATCATTTGAGAATAATTACTTCCTGAAATATGGTACCTTTGAGGTGATCACCATCTAATACATCTCTTATCCTATACAGTGTTGATGAATCATTCCCTTCTGTCACATTGAAGTTTATGGGTGGTGCGTCCATGTTGATAAAGCCTGAGGACTATCTTTTACAGCAGGGGTCTATTGTAAGTTACTCCATGTTGCTAAGTACTTCCATGAGAGCAGCAATAGGCATTTGTACATATGCTGACATACAGTAGCTACCTCATTGATGTATTTGACCATCGTCATAAAAGGCTTGCTGGAATAAGGGCCTAATTACTAGTGGAAAGATTTTGCTATGTACAGTCATGGACCATATTAAAAGTCAACAATAATACTTAAATAACAATTTTAACAGTATGTTATGCCTATTAAAGTTTTTTCTTGTATGTGACGTTATTAAGAAGATATCTTAACTGATGACTTTGAGAAAAGGATGCTAGTTGATTAATGTAATACTATTTTGTTCACATATTATATTGTTATACAATAACAATAACAACAGAAGGAAAAAAAGGCAAGGAGGAGCAGCATATGTCGGTGTAATCAGCCTATCGAGACTACCATGCTGTCCTTTTGTATCCTGTATACAACCATCTGGGCATGGTTGTATGTCACATCTGCAGCCATACCGTACAACGTTATTATTGTATAGGCCTTGTCAAGGAGTAGATGTGGCCCCATTGTATATGGCTACAGATACAACCGCATGAATGGCATTACAGAGCATTCTATCTAAAGGGAACATATTGTTTGACCTCGTGCAGGATAATTCTATCATATGGTGTATTGGCTGGCAAAACAACAAGGGCTCAGGAATAACGATACTAGGGGGTACTTTGACTTCACTTTTTCATCAGATTTTATTTTAGTGGATTATTGGTTTCATGAACTGACATTTTATTCTTTGGACTCCACTATTTAGTTTGACTGTTTCTAGGTAAAGTGATAGGTTATTCCTCGGTCCATTTTTTAACCAATAGTTACTGACTAGTGGCAATATCAAGAATACGTTGCTGACAAAATTGAAAGATTGTAGATGTGTTTTTCGATGCCATTGAAATATTGAAAAACACCTGCTGACAAGATGTTTTTTTCTGTGTTTTTCTCGGTCCTCAGTCCAATGCAGGTGTTTTTCACTTTTATAACGTAAAATTAGAAATAATGGCACATGATATATCAGTTAAGATCATTTTGGACCAATAGAACAATTACAAACATTAGCATCTCACTCTTTATAGATATGTAAAATTTATAGTTAAGCATCATGTTGCGCATTACAAAAATGACATAGTACCAGCTTCATTGAATTAAGTTGGTGTAGAACTTTGCAGAGTTTATGTGGTTATGAGCAGGCAGGACAGAACAAGGTTGGCTAAAAGGCAAAGATTTTTTGGTTTGAGCACAGAACCATCCACATTTGGTTGATATGCCATGTAGGTAGAGGTTGATCTTGCGGAATGCACTTTGAAACACTGATCAAAGAATCCAGAAAGGTGATGAAAGAAACAATTAAAGCTGAAGCAGTGAAACGACTGAGTTGTTTGCTCTTCACGGGGCTATACAAGTCTCCTTGATCTGGGGATGTCTCTGCTATTAACAGACCTATGTAAACCTTGGAGAAGTTTCTTTATATCCTCACATAAAAAAATATTTAGTATGAGCTTCTTTAGACCATCAGGCTGTCAATTACTGAAAATATCTTTTATGAATCAATTATTCACCTAATAATTAATGTAAAACAAAACATGGTCAAGGTCCTTAAATTCGCAAAACAAACCATGATAGTATCAAACTTTGAAAATTGAAAAATCAGATTATCAAAATATTGGCTTAGAGTTTCATACATTTTATGTAGTCTGCTGTGAATCTTTATGGAATGCTATATTTGTGTTGTGTATCTTTTGTTGGTTCACCAGGCTCCCAAGAAATACAAATTTGTGATATTAACTTCCTGATCCATGGCAACGTTTGCTGAGAGTGCCATGAATCGAAGGATAGAAATGATTTACATAATCTTTTAACCTGTTTGCTGAACAATGTCGTTTTTGATAGAAATGATTTCTCATACAAGCTTAAATATGATTCCTACCTTTTTGGACTGCTATAGACTACACTCACAATTTACAGCTAACAAAAAATATTCTCTCCTTTCCAGACCTTGTTCTCAAGGATAAGATATTTGTTTATGATTTAGCTAATCAACGCATTGGTTGGATGAATTATGACTGTAAGTCTCATCATCAACAATTCCCTGTTTTCTTTTATCTTCATACTCGAAGGAACACTAATGTTGTTTCTATATTGGTTTTCATGCAGGCTCTCAATCTGTCAATGTTAGTACAGCTTCTGGTAAGAACGAATACCTAACCGCGGGGCAGCTGGATGTTAGTGGATCTTCAGACTCTGTATTCTCCAAGCTGCTATCAAGCAACAATTTATTGATCCTAATTTATATCTTTATTATTGCTAGTTTATAGCAAACTGAAGCATACATGTTATGACCATTCTTTATTGTTGTAATCAAGGGTTATAGAGTCACAATCAACATTGATGTTGTTTCTCAGGTCCTTCTTCCTGTAATGTACAGATTTCATTCCTTACTATTTCTTCATCTCCATAACTCATCATTTATTTTTTCACCTTTTCAATGTTATTTGGTGTTCATTGTTACCTATGCATTAACCATCATTACTTGGCTGCTTGGAGGTGGAAACATGTCTTTGCCTGTGATGAACTCCCCATCTCCATGTCATTCTCTTATTTTCCATGGATGAAATATTTGGTTGTGTGTTTGCTACAAATCACCTTCTTTTAGAGAGAAACAATTGCTCCATCATTGCAGATAAAGTTGACCATCTCAGTTGAAGACTTCAAAGAGAAGATGTGTTGATTTTTTTTTTATGTAATGCTTGAGATTTGTGAAAGACTGGAACAAGAACAGATATGCCAGTTTCAAATTCAAATGCCTTTCTAATTGCAACTTCTTTTTTATTCCAGCCTAGAAGTTAAATGCAAGTCACTGTCTCTCTAAAGGATTATTCCAATATCTAAATATAATATACCAAAACCCAATTTTTTATTTTACTTTAAAAAATTCATACTAAGGGATCAACACAAAATATCATTCAAAAAATTATTAGTAACTCATTCCAACATTAATTGGCATGTACTTGTAAGCTCATTTACCAAACAAAATATACAAACCAAGGGGCCTAAATTTACTAATAAAAATATAAAAATCCTTACCACCCTTTTTTCTTTATATTTAAAATAATTCAAATGAAATTTAATATTTGTGTGTAAATTATATGGAAGGAGGAACCTTTAAATGAACACCGCATCCTACGCACTGTCCGACTTGGTGTTCGTTTGCGGTCGCAAATTCTTACTCCTCTGGCGGCGGCGGAGCAACGGAGAGGGCGAGGGATAAGAGAGAGGCTTACGGCAGCAGCCATGAAGCGAAGGGGGAAGGGCGAGAGGCCCAAATCTGATGCGTTCCCCGCTTCCCTCTCCAAGCGCCTTCGACGGCCGCCTCCGACCGAAGCGGCTGAAGGAGAGCCCGCCGAGGCAACTGCCGCCGCCTCGCCCTCCGTCGTCCTGGTCACCGGCCTCCCCGCTGACTGCACCGTGCTGGAACTGAAGTCCCGCCTGGAGATGTACGGCCCCATCTCCCGCACCCGCATCGACGTCGACGGCCGCGGCTTCGTCACCTTCCGCTCCGACCACGCCGCTGAGGCCGCCATCTCTGCCTCCCTCGACCCGGCCTTCGGTGTCACCGTTCGATCCAAAAAGGTGCTTCCTTTTACTCATTTTTACTTTCCCCTGCAGAGATTGCTTGTTAAATTTGGTGGCTTTAGCTCTTCCAACTTCCACGGTAACGATGTTGAGGTCTCATTCTCAAGTCAAGGCTGGTGCTCATTTCTGATAGTCCTTCTTCCTTCTAATGGTTGATGCCTTGCAAATTGCTGATACTCTGTTTGTAGTATCATATCCTTCAAAGAATTCATTAACGGAAACTTAAGCTTATCACTGGTTCCCATGGTCAAAGATGAAAAGAATTGTCAGTGCAAAGGGAAGGATAGATCTAATTTTGTGCTGGATGCGGATATCTGGCTAATTGGATATTAGGGTGTGGCTTAGGCGTACAGGTAGATTGCAGACTCTAGGATACAACTAGAGGACATCGTTTAGTAGCTATGATACCAGAGTGATGAAAGGCAGGATTGATCGATCTGCAATGTATATTTTTTTGGCTGCAAAGTGACAACAAGTCTCTTAGCCTAAGTGAGTGCTTTCTGGTTTACTGGCAGAAACAGAGCAGTAGTACTGAAGGGACAATGATCCGGAATTTAATTTCATATTACCAACTGTATTGATGAATATAATATGCAGAAAATTCTTGACCTACAGTGCTGTGATATCCAACAGTAGAAAATGATCAAGCAATTACGGAGAATTCTATTCACATCCCCTTTATACTATGAAGCATTTTATCCCTTTTTACTATTGAAAATCTCTTAAAAAATATATATTATATTATTATTTACAGTTTCAGTATTACTGATTTTATCTTTTTTTTTCCCTCATTATCCCTTTTTTCATCCTTGTTGCAAACGCCACTCCCTATTGCCGTCATCGCCAATGCCATTGCTGCGGACATCACTCGCTGCCCCCTTCGACGCCTCTTCGTTTGCTGCCGATGCCATCAACGCCCGCAATGATGACCCCTTGACACTTGCCGCGCGTGTAGTTGGAGGGCTGCTGGCGAAAGTAGCAATTGTTGGTGGGCCTAGCTGTTTAGGTGGTCATTGGATCTTGACTCCCTTGACGCACCCATGATGTTGGAGGCTTCTTTGAAAGAGGCTGTGAAGGAGACGGAGGAGAAGAGTAGGCGGTTGGTGCAATGGAGGTTCACGGCGTTCACAAAGGGGAAAGTAAAGGAGCGACGGTTGCTGACATTAGAGGGAGTGTCAATAACGTCAATAGTGAGCGGGGAGGCGTTGGGTTGTCGGAGGGGGGAGGGGGCAGCGAGTGATATCGCCTCTAACTATACCTACGACGAGTGTCGAGGTGGCGTCGATGACATCGGCACCGAGCAGAGAGGCGTTAGAGGTGGCGTCGACAGCGAGCGAAGTTGGCGGTGACGACATCGGTAACAAGCGGATGAAATAATGGATTGTGGGGAAGAAAACAAAATAGGATCGGTAATAGTGGGATCGTAAATAGTAAAATAATATTTTATTATTTTTTAAGGGGTTGCCAATAATAAGGGAGTTGTCAATAGTAAGAAGGGGTTGTGAATAGCAAGCTTAAGCAATAAATCCTGACAGCAGATTTTAGTGGCAGCATGCCACTGCCAGTTCATGATATAACCATCTGTTGATATTTGTGATAGAGCAAAGCTTTGTTCTAGAGGATAAAAGAGAGAGCATAGAGGGAAAAGTTGAGAACATAGACAAACAGTGATTAATTAGAGAAAAGAGAAGAATAGGAATAGCAATCTAAATTTCCATTCTTCTAGTCTCATTGCCCATTATTTAATCTTTTATGGAGATGACCAAGACATTTTCAAACCTACCTGGACTTCCAGGAAGATTAGAACCCTCAACATCTAAAAGTACACTTAACTACCATACTATCTTCTTTTTTTTCTTTCTTGTCCTCGAAGGAAATGATACCTTGTCTAGTTATTCTAGCAGTGCCACTCATGCTAAAATGCCATGTAGAGTGCGAGATATATTAACATCCAACTGCTACAAGCTTTACAGAATCTCAAGGTGGTATTGACTTACTACCCTATGCTAAAGCAATCTCTATCGAAAAAAAAAGAGGCTGAAATTGAGGGATTAATTGATGGCACCTAATTAGGATGTTATATAATCTGCAAAAGTTTTGTAGAAAACAAAATCATTTACCGCTTGAGTCTATTTAAACACCATTTATTTGGCGAGCAATTTGATTTCTCTGGTACTCTATGATTAGTTTGCTAAAACCAGATGGATTGTTATGACTCTCATAGCAAGTTAGTAACTGTGATATTTCCTGCATTTTGTTCGATTAAGATGGGTTCATAAATGTTTTTGGTAGCTGAGATATTGGTGGCTGTAATTTCTTTTTGGTCCATTTGAATTATTCTTTTAATTATTATTACATGATAGAACTGGAAGGTTTTCAAGAATATGATAAGTCTCATACCATTTGATATAATAAAGTATTTAGATAGAGAGAAAGAGGGAGCAATGCAGGGTAGTGATGGAAAAGTATATTATTCCTTTTAATTGCTATCTTCAGCATATTTCCTATGTGCTTTTCGTTAGTAGACTGAGTGGGAACTATGAGCTCTAGTATCCCTATAATATGTATGATTGTAAACCCTTAGGTTCATGTTTAGATGAATCCCTATTCTTCATGCAATGAATTTGTTAGTTCAGGGAGGCATTTCTCCTCATCAAATCGGAGAAATCTTGATTGGATGATCATGTCCTATTGATAGATGATGGCCTTATGTTTACTTTTGGTAGAAACTATATGTCTAGGTTAAATGATATGCATTCTAGAGTTGGCCACTTGGCATTTACTTGTTTCTAACTTTTTTGTTGATGCATATGCAGATATAGATCTATCTTTGATATAAAAGAGGGGTAATTACATATTACCCCCTGTAGTTACGTAGGATTAACATCCCGATCCTTATACTTTGAAAAGTAGTATTGAGATCCCTACACTTACGGAAGTGAAACATTTAACCTCAATTCTCTTTACGTCGTCAATTTCATCGTGAATGAAAGGGATAAAAAAGTAATTTCATATAAACTTTTTGGCGTTAGCATGCATTTGGATGCAAACTCATACAATCACCTTTCTTGTGTTTTTTTGGGTTTCTAATCACCAATTAACACTTTAGGTGATGCCAATCCACCATATATTTATTTCCATAAAACAAGTCATTCTTAATTTTATATGATATCATGGATGCTCTTTCTCTTTGTGTCTCTGCTCTTGTCAGCATTATTCTAGTTCTAGCGGATGAAGAACTTCTAGGCGTGGTTGGCAACCTACGTTAATGTTCTCGTCTTCACCACCCATCGCGAGATGTTCCTCTAATCTCCCTTCCAGTACTTGGCCCAGGGGACGTCGCGCTTCTGCTCCTCTCCCCTGCCTCGGGCGGTCGGTTGCTAGCGGTGTCGTGTGTCGCTGTCGGACTCATCATCACTCCCACCGCCATCCACCTCGCCCCAGCAGTCTAGCACCTCAATCATCCCCCGCTCGATCATGTTGCAATCCTCCACCAGGGCTTGGTAGCGCTCCCATGCCTCGGTGGAACTCCACCTTGCCAATTGCGTCGCGATGGCGAACCACCGGTCCGGGGTGCCTTACGAGTACACCACCAGGGCCTGCTCGAAGAGCTTGTCCTCCTCCCACGTCCACGACCTCGATGCTGCCCCCACGAACTGCTTGGAGAACATGGACATTAGGTCGCCCTTGCCCATTCGTCTTACTCTTCTTTCGCAAGGAACGAGAGGATTGGTGGCATGATGTTTTTTACTCGACATCGTCGTTGGTCTATCATTTGCAACGCAACCGAAGGCGCGCGAGGGTGGCATTCCAGAGGAGATCCGGGCGTTAGCCTCGCGTGCCACCGACGTCGCCATTGGTCTATCGTCCACAACGCAGTTGGAGGCTCGTGAGGGTGGCGTTCCGAAAGCGATCCAAGCGTCGACCTCTCATGCCATCGGCATTGTCGGCCTCGTGCCTCACTGACGTTGCTGCCATCCGCATAGAGGAAAACAAGGAAGTTTATATGAAATTATTTTTTTACCCTTTCCATTCATGACGAAATTGACGATGTGAGGAGAATTTGGTTTAACTGTTTCCCGTTCGTAAGTGTAGGGATCCCAATATTGCTTTTTAAAGTATAGGAATCAAGATGCTAATCATATGTAACTATAGGGGTAACATGTAATTACACCTATAAAAGATGTCACAATTCGTCTAAAGCATTCAAGAGGCAAAACTAGCAGCATTAACACAATCAACACATTGTTAAATCTTTCTAGTCCTGATTCACCATAATATATTTTCTTTTCCTTTGCTTTATATGCCATGTTCTCCCTCTCATGAAAATGACTTTGCCAAACCCTCAAGTATTTGCTAGCGCCAGAATCTGGAATGGAGTTTAATTTACCTTTGCTGCCTTTATACGTTGGCTGCTTTTGGATTTCTTGCATGTCTCACATACATTTTGATGCTTCCTCTGTACCTTCTTGTTGGGAAACAATGCAGGTACTGGTAGTTCGGGCGAGTGATCCGATACCAGCAAAGATGGGAGCAGGGATTTCTTCCACCTCGAGGCTTCTTCGTGCAGAAATACCCCTGAGCCGACATGGTCCAAGTAAAGAGAAGCTCGATGCAGGTGCGACTGCAGAGAGGAGCAAAAGCGGACCAGAGGTTTCCCACGATGGTCGGGAAATCATCGCTTACGATGATCTATTTTGACATCCACTTGGATTAACCGTGTGAGGTTCCATCTGAATGTTATGTTGTGATGTATCAAATGACTGGCCGTATGTTTGAGATTATTGGCCTATTTAATGTGGATCTGTGCTACCGGCCATATGATGTGTATATGGAAGCCGGAAGCCAGAATCCGAGATTTGCTTGCTTGTGCTACTACTGCCACCTGCTTGGATGATTAGTGCGCTGTGGTGCCATGTCAGCATGATATCGGCCAACCTTCTCCAAACGAAATAGTTAGGTCATCATCAATATCATCATGACCAGCACTATCACCAATATCACTTGGAACCTATTTTAAATGATCCTTTTTGTGTTTGCAGATCATATGGGAATTGAGGTGAGGTTACTGACAAATAATGACTGATCATATCGAATGTCTTTTTTGTTCCACTCTATGAAAGCGTATCTTTTGTTTAATGAGGATATATTTAGTGCTCGATTGTCATGCATGCCAGGCCTGGTAATTCCTATCCATGACCTTGTGGAGATCTACAAATATTGTGTATCATCATAACTTGGACGTGGAACTCCATTTTGTATCATATGCGACCATGGCTGCTGGGAGCTGTAGGCATATTCTCATTTGCTGAATCAGTTGTATGTTGCTCGCCAAGGCTTCTTGATGCTTTCCGTGACTTGGGAGCTATTGCCTTAACACAAGTATACATTCATCAACGAACAAGTTCAATATCCAATGATTTGATACGGGCTTAAACAACAAACCAACATCCAGAATTCTAACTTCATAGCATGGGAACTATTGCCCAACACCAGGAAACCCTAAATCCATTGGAGTATAAACAGATTTGCAGTTTATACTGCCTGAACAGAATGCAAGTTTACATCCACCGAATAAGGAATTAACATGAAATGATATGACACAGATATCTAATTCATAACTTGAGTCTAATGCCCAACTGACAGAATCCCCAAAGTCCATTGACAGATAAACAAACTTGCCGATTAATGCCGCATTAGCAGAAGTTTATATCCACTAAAGAAGGTAACAGTTCAACATAGATACAGGATTCCAAATTCATAACATGGGTCTATTGCCCAACAACTAAAACCCTATCTGGGGATGACATATTGATCAGGTTTATCGACCCGACTACTCTGTAATTGGATTCAATCAGTTTTGATCAGCAAGTAAACACTGGAATTGGGTTTGTGTACTTCAATTGTTGGTCAGGTTTGGATCGAATTTGGTATCCTGCTCATTCTCATTTCTAATGCAAGGTAAGATGGTGGCAGATCGAATTAATTTTAGTACTGATCTATGAGATCCAATTAAACTAGGTTCGGACACCTTTTAATCGGGTTTGAGAGGATTTGGGTAAGAGAACAAGTATCCGATTTTGAGAATTCGTATCGTGGTAAGATTCACAATACCCAACCTGCTATTGTTTCTACCCAAATCAAATCAATTGGAATTCAAACAAACTTGGCTATTTAAACTGCAACCTAAGTCTACATCCATCAGAAACAGCTTAGTATCCAATAATTTGATTCAGAATTCAATATTCATAAAATGGGTCTACTGCCCAACAACAGAAGCCTCAAGTCTATTATAAATTGAATAAACTCAATTTATAACACCATAGCAAAACATAAATTTACATCCACCAACGAAGGAAACATTTCACGCAAATGATTTCGACCAGTAGAACGATAAACTGGCATTTACTACTACACCATTTTCCACATCTAAACAAAAACCAAGTTCTGCATCCATCTAATCATCACAGAAATGAAGCCAACTCCTAATGCCACTATGCAAAACATAAGAGTATGTACCATACCATATTCCACACAACAATGATGATATATTTTAGTCAACAATAATAATAGCAAATTGGAAAGGTCTTTGGCACTTGTGTCCATTTCATCTCAACATGAGATCGCAATATCAAACAAGCAACCACAAGGACTTGGAAAGCAGGAAAGCAAATGATGGTGGCGGTAATACAGACAGATACACATGATTACCAGAGAAGCTTCCTTAGGTGTTGATCTGCTCCTGGATCCGCCTCTCGAGTTCGTCCTTCTTTGCGCCGACGATTCTGCCCACCTCCTGCCCGCCCTTCACCAGCACGAACGTCGGCATAGCCTGCACCTTCCACTGCTTCGACACCTCCTATACTTTAAATGTTGTTGTTAGATTTCGCGTCACGACAAACAAAATCCCCAAACCAAGAACAGCATCACCCCAATAATCGAGATGAAAGAAACAGGAGGAAGAAGCATCACCGGGATCTCATCGACGTTGATCTTGACGAACACCGCGTCGGAGTACTGGGTGGCCATCGCCTTGAACGCCGGCTCCACGAAGCGGCACGGCCCGCACCACGACGCCGAGAAGTCGATCACCATCTTCCAACAAATCCAAAAGGGAAAACAATCAAAGGGGAGATCGAGAGGTAAAACGAACCAATCCAATCCGATTAGGGTTTGCGGATCACGGAGATACCAGCTTGTTGGTTTGGGAGTGGGACTCCCAGTTCTGGGTCCATTCGCCGGCGGAGTGGATGGCGATGACGGCGGAGACGCCGTCCTCAGCGGCGTAGGCGGGTTGGCTGGAGAAGAAACCACCCATTCCTCTTCTCCCCCTTTCTTCCCCTTCTCTCGGGAGGTCGTCGAAGGATGGCTTTTGTAAGGCTGCTAAAGCCTAATTATCGACAACAACAGCAAAAACAAATTCAAAGGTTTTTAAAGTACATTTCTTTTTTATTTTGATTTTTTTTCTAACTATGTTTAATTATTTCTAATTGTTTTTACTATTAAGACATCTCATTAATGATCAAATCATACTATTTAATAAAAATAAAATTTATCATATGATTGAAATGTATAAGAGCTCAATAATATCATCGTGAAAATAAAATAATAATAATAATAATAATAATATCATCGTAATGTATTTATTATATGGCCTAAGCAAGAGGGATTTGACGTTATGGGTAATTAATCCATAAATAAAAATTTATTTTGAAAATAAAAAATATTTTGGTAAAAAAGAATCCAAAAAGGAGTAAATGCTGTCCTAAATCTATCATAGGTTGAATTCACATAAATATAGAATAATTAAATAAATAATATTTTGTAAAAAAATCAATGACAAATGTATATATGTATGCGTAAACACGATTATAGTTAGATTAGTCAAAGTATGATATATCATTTATCATGTTGATTTGTAAAAAAATTAGTGTTGATCCTCTCTGCATTCAAAGATCTATCAGGTCCACTTACTAAAAATTAAGAAATTAAAATCTCACATATTTTTATTGTTGATAGGATCAAATGTCATCTTCATCATTTATTCTTTAAAACAAAATGCTTTGGGTGAGAAGTAATTTCTTTGGGTTTGTTAGGTAGATCCAACAAGTTACATTAGTATTGTGCATTTGTGTTCTTTGCAATCAGATCAGAAAAGCTGTGGTTGTTGCCATGGGCTATGGTGTTTGGATGAAGGGCAATCCAAGGATCTTTCCACTGTGGATGGACACATATAGATGAAATATTGGGCTACATTCCTTAAGATGTCAAGTTAATATCTAAGATATTGATTCATGTTGTCTCTCCTATGCTGTTCAATGATGACAGGTTCTCAGAAATGTCCAATTGAGCCCTCCTTGTCCAATATAAAATACCTGGTTTCCTTCTTCAAGATTTGTTTGGATGTGTGTCAGTGGGGCATGCCATGCTTGATGATGTTTCATGTGGATGAAGTTGTAGAGTCTTTATTCCCTTCAGTTTGTATTGTTGTCTGAAAGTGAAGTCAGTACACTTGGATTATATGCCTTCTATTTTACTTCAAGTGGTTGTATGTTGGAAATAATAGGTTGTTCTCTGCAAAAGTATCATAAGGCTGGAATTCTGGAGAGATGCAGAATGCAAGTTGAGAAGATAAAGAAATAATGATTTGTTTTTCTCTCCTTAAACAGCCAACTACTATCTAAACAGCCATGTTCACCACCAAAGCATATAGATGGAGCATAAAATCTTCCACTATACTGGATAAAAATATTCTTGTTTACCAAATTTGATGACCAAACTCACTAAATCTATTTAACTCCTGTCTCTACTTTTAGCCTTTTTCCTTTTGCAAAAAACCATTTGCTTTGTAAGTCTCATCACATCTGAACATGTATGGTGTATACCACACTGAATCTGGTAGAGATTGGTCTAAAGATCTAAAGAACACTTGATGTTTCACTGCCACACAACATAGAATTGAGTTGTCTAATTGTCCATCTATGACAATTCCTCTCTAGACAAAGCTAGAATGTACAAGAAGGGCAGCCTGAATAGCCCTCGGGCAAAAAGTTGGAACTTTATGAGGCATGCAGGGAAGCCAAATATATCTCAAAGTTTTGCTCTCCTTTGTGACAAGAAACTCCTCCATCTGAATTAGATTGTCCATTGCTAGATGCTATGCACTAAGACCCCAAAAAATATATATTAGCACTTTGCAATGCCATGTCAACATCTGACTGATTTCATAAGGTAAACAATAAATTGGTTCCTTATTCTACTACTGCCCCCAAAGCTTGTAGCCAATGTTGATCAGAGAGCCAGTTGTCCTTCCATGTTCTTACATTTCTCACATTGCTCATTGTCCATTTGACTCTCTTTGGTAGATTCTTACTGTACCCTATGGACCTCCAAATATAGTTGAAATTGTGGCCAAGTTTGGCATGTGGAGAGAGTTTGAATCATGAAAGCAACTAGCTTTCAGTGAGTGGCTACAGCAAATATGGAATGGGGGTGGTTCCCTAACATTGCTTCATTGAAGAGGCATGGCTTCCAAAGCTGAGACCTCTGAAACCCATTTGACTTGTATCTCTACAAGCATCTGCCAAGATCATTGTCTAACTCATAAATGGATTTTATAGAATCTTAAGGATGATCTCATAATGATGTAGGTAGGAAATGGACAGTAAAGCTGCTTTGGTAAAACCTTTGCCAGCTTCAGATAAGCTTTGGTAGGCTGCTTTGGTTGCTTCTGCATTCAATCAATCAACAAGTCAGCAAATGGATTGGCTCTTCCAAACCATCAATGCAGAAGAAGGTGTGTTCATTATGTTGCACAATTTTCTTTCACTCCCATTAGAGTTTGGGCAGCATGTGCACTGTGCTGTACCTACTGCCTTTGAGAAAGCAAACCAACAAACATCTGTGAACATTAAAATATGTCTGCTTTATCATAATCTCAGAACATCTGACCACTAGCTTTTAATTGTCAGACAATGTCTGGGGATCCCATTTTGATTGTAGTTTTTTGTTTTTGTTCAATGAGATTGCACCATTTGGATTGCCCTATCCACTCTAGTGGAAAAAGTAAATGACAGAGTGGGGCATAATGATGCAAGGAGGAATGAGTTTATCATATCAATTAAACAACTGTGACCAAGATAAAGCCATGACAAAGGCTGAAGAGGAAGATTGGGGTTGCCAATAATGCCAACATGCTACTCATTAGGGATTGTTTGGTAACTTCCTTGTGTATTTTACCTATCCCAATATGCATATATATGTCATAGAAGATGATCAACCCTTCATTTATATATTGATAGTTAATGGAACTGTCTAATGTTATGAATTATGTAATAGCCTGTGAGTGACCTTTTGATGGTGAGAATTAGATAGATAAGATAATTAGAACAATGATTCACAATCTTCAGAAAGAACTCTTCAAAAAAAAATTCCCAATATATTTTTTGTTAGAAATTTTAATCAAATATGACTTTGACTACTAGATATTTAATTCACTAATATTGTTAATCTTTTGAAAAGGACTTAATAAAAGTTACACTAGACTTCAACTGCTGATGAAAATTCTTGGTCCTTGCAAAGTTTGAATGTTAAAAATAATGACAATCTAAGAGGACAAAAATGTCTTCAAGATGCCATTAGAGGTCTTCATTGGGTCATCTTGATCTATGAAGTGATGACCACTTGAGTAGCATGAAGAAGATAACCATAAGAAGACAAATGTGACAGCCCCCAAGTCCTTACTGGTTTGTGATCAAGTTAACAACATGATTGATGTGGAAGTGAAGAGGATAAGGGGAAAAGGATACACCCAAGAAGGTAAAACATGGAGAAAAGCAAACTAAATGGGAGACCCACAGAAGGAACAAACAGTATGCTACAAATATAAGAAACAATGTCCAATGCTCAAGAAGAAGAACCACTGATTTCATAGAAGAAAACAAGAAGGCCTTAAGATCAACTTGAAATGATATGGACTCAAGAAAGTCCAAGGGAGAGGAAAAATAGTCACAAGATTATATCTCTAACTATGCACTTTTGACATTTGATCTCAATGAAATGACTTACTTATGGTGAATATGCTTTTCAAGACATCATGATTTGAAACTTGGATGAATCATGAAACATGAATCATGTTGTTAACTCCCAAACATGATTCCCTCTTCTTACTTTAGATGAATATTATTAATACCAAGTGAGCTGTAACTCCTGAAAATTGCATTGTAGATTGATTGTATAATTTGGTATTTGAATTAAAAAAATAATATATGTATGAGATTGTCTAAGAGAAAAAAAATAAAAATCTCATTATTTAAACTAGCCTTAAATTTACTTCTATAAAGTTTCTATGAATAATATTTTCTTAAGCTTACAAACAATTTATTCATATTTTTGTAACTTTTTCTTACGATAATAATAATAAAAGCAAACTATAATATTCTAAATATTCAAGATGGCTACACAATTTTTTAATTATTCCTTTCCTAATTATATTATAAAAAAATTATAATTCTAGTAAAACTTTTCATTCATCTCTTTTCGTACCACTAGCAATAACTATCTTACTTCTCAAACATCTATATTATCTCGATTAATCCTTTAAAAGTATAAAAGAAATTTTTAACATTTAATCAACATCAAATCGGTAAAACAGTAAAAGAAAAAGGATTTATAAAGTTTGCTTCCGTTCCTTGGAAAGGATCAAAGGCATGGTTAGGTGAAGAGTCTCCAAGAAGTTTATCTCCTCAAGTAACCATCTTCATCCTCATCCTCATGCTCATCCCCTTAGGTCCCATTCCGCCTCTGATAGGCCACTCCAAGTGGACCCTCGGTTCCTTCTTGCTTGTACGAAGAGAAACTCCTCAGATGACTCAACACATTTCTACGTGATTCTTCATTGGTTTACAAGTGCCCATCCATATGACAAAGTAGTGCATTAGCTTGGATAAGAAACTATCTTATTTTTAGTAGGGAGCATTAATTTGAGTGTGTCAAATTGGGTTTGTATGCCACGACTTGGTAGGTGGTTCCAAGTCTTCTAATGTCATGCCGTTGACTTCAAAGTTAATATATACGTTCTAATGTCATGTCATTGACTTCAAGGTTAATAAATACCCGTTCCTTTTGATGCCTTGTGGAAGACTTTTCCTTCCTTCGTCTGTCTATTCATTAGAGCTGAAAACAACAAGGCAACTCCTTCGATTCCATCGAAATAATAATTTACACCCATTTTTCATTCTAATTATAGTCGTTGCTCTATCCGAATACATCTATCAATATGTATAACTTAATATGACAATTTTGTTGTTGGTTCCAACCGATGATATATTACCATTCATGTCAATATCAATATTGATAGAGCTTTCAGGATAGTATTGGATTATGTTTGAATTAAAAATCTTGTGTGCAAAGTATGTATAGACTTATCTAAATTGAGTGATCGTTTGTTTTCTTTCTATTTTTCAATTGTTTGTTAAATTACTAGAGTGTTATATTTTTTTAACTTGATCTTCGTCACTCATCTTTTAAACTAATTAATTTTTTTCTATAAAAAATTTAAGATCTATTCAAGGTTTAACCCTTTACATGAGTAATTTTAATTAAACATATGTCTCACCATTAATATATACGATAATTAATGTTAACAAACTTCTCTAGTCAAGTTATTAACATGATTTGGTCTAATTATCAATGTTCAGGATCGTTCCTGTGACGTGGTCTTTTTCGGGTTGGGTTGATGGCTCCGCATGTGATTCTTCGGTCAACACACGATCTGCTTCATCATCGTTAGGCCCTTGCAAACAGGCTTAGGTCGTGATGGGAGGAGTTTCCTAACTTGGCTCCTCCAAAGGTTAAATCAGTATCAAATAGAGTTTTTGTATAAGGATAGTCCCCCCTTTTCCTGATGTCGGTCATGGGGCTTTTATGCTTGCACTCGAAGATCAATCGTACGTGATCTGACAATGGCGATCGGCTCCTCGAGCGACCGACTTGTATCTTTGGGCGACCGTCGATTGACTTGCATAGAACGGTGTTGCATGACGCTATTTCGAATTTTTCGTAGTGATCTTCAACCGTACAACGTTGTCTCATGCGGCTTCGGATGACGCAGGAAGGGGCGATCATTGTCCCGAGTCTAAGGTGGTACATCCGACGCGATGTTTCATCTCAGTCCCGAGGCTCCAAGTTCGCACTGACATGTTCGCTGATTACGTCCACAATATAAAAATATATCATATCAATTAATACACTAAATCATCTCATCACGACTTCCAAACCATAAAATCATGATGTTCCTTAATCACTGTCACATAAAAACTACACTCTTTAGTCTCTAAATCGATCGTTCGCATTCATCTCGATCGATGGAGCGTAATCCTTCAAGGAACAACATCAACTATTATTTCTTAGCATATATCAGAATGACAGTCCTCGATAATAGCTATCCTCCTTTGAGGAACAACATTAACTAAATTAAGCTATGATGTAATGGGACCCAGTCGGCATATCTACCGCAGCAACCACCGTGCCTTTTAGTAACTCGACACAAAAAGTGGGATGACCACAAGGAATGATTGAGCTGCATGCAGGACCAGCATGGCGTGATGCTACAGTCTCACCGTGGAATCATACGCACCTCCTCACCCCATCATCATCATCATCATCATCCCCACCTTCTCCTCCTCTCCCATTCGACTCACTCCACCCCCACCCTTTCCTTATCACCACCCCAACTTCTCGATGGCAATGCCAAAAAAAGGGAACCCGTCGGACCTAATTATTATTATTGCTGTTGTTTTCTCACCAACTCCTCTCCTAAGCCTTCTTCTTTTCCTTCAAAAGCTCTCTTTCGGCTCACCACTCAAAAAGACTTAATTGCCCAACCGTTTCAACTATCACCATAATATATATATATATATATGGCAAATTTGTAGATAAACCCTCCCAAGTTTCCGATTCTTGTAATTTAACCTCAAGTTTTTGTTTGACACATTTACCCCCCTTCCCCCAAAATCTTATGAATTTACATATGTACCCTATTAGTTGATTTATATGCTCTAAAAACTCCCTTGCTTAACAAAATCAAAAATATATTAGATGTGTTATACATCTTAATATTTGAATTGATATGTAAATCTTGTATTAATTTGATAAACATGTTCAACCATCCATTCGAATGTCACTTAAAGCGGATAATTTTTTACGAGACCTGATCGTAATGATGAATATAAATAATGATTTATCCGTTGATATCGGAAACGAAACAACTATTGGGATCTATCCGAGATAAGAAATTATTAAAATTTATTAATTTTTAGATTTTAAATTAATATTGATATTCTTCAAAACCTCTTGCTTAAGAATGACAAAATTATATAGGTTAATAGTGATTGATATGAAAAATAAGTTACTTCCAAATTTATCAAGCAAATATATATATATATTATTTAGGATATTACCATATGTAATTTTTAAAAATATTTATAATTTTATTTGGTGCCGACAAGAATGAAATAAGAGATTATGAAAAAAGATAAAAATCGATAATACTGTGATTATAAATAGTAAAATAATATTTTGTTATTTGTAAAAAAGGATTGGTCAAAGGGAAAAGGAAGCTATGGGGGAGTGAATAGTAAACTTCAATATTTAGGGAGAGTTGGATGAAATTTCCAAATTGGCCAACCGGCGTGAATACTTGAGCCTATCGCAATTCCCCTCTCCTTTTACTTCTTCCAACTCCTTTTTGTTCACTCGGTTCGAAGAAAGAAATGCCGGAGCATACGACCAAGCCGACCCCAAATCACCACGATAGAAGAAGAAAGCCCGTAGACCAGTAGCCAAGGTGGGCATCGCCAAGACCCCGCCATGGGCAACACCTGCGTATGCCTCGCCGGCGAACCCAAAGACTCGGACAGGAAGCAGAAGAAGCCCTCGCCCCGTCCCCAGCAGCAGCAGCAGCAGCAGCAGCAGCAGCAACCGAAGACGCGGCAGCACAAGCCACACCGGCCCCGGCCGAACCCCTACGCTGAAGACACCATTGGCTCCCCCTCCCTCCATGTCCTCAAGGACGTCGTGCCGCTTGGCCGCCACCGCAGCCGCATCGGCGACAAGTACGTGCTCGGCAGCGAGCTCGGCCGTGGCGAGTTCGGTATCACCTACCTCTGCACCGACAAGGAGACGAGGGAGGCGTTGGCCTGCAAGTCCATCTCGAAGCGCAAGCTGCGGACCGCCGTCGACGTCGAGGACGTGCGGCGGGAGGTGGCCATCATGTCCACTCTGCCGGACCACCCCAACATCGTGAGGCTCCGCGCCGCGTACGAGGACGCGGACGCCGTGCACCTGGTGATGGAGCTGTGCGAGGGTGGGGAGCTGTTCGACCGGATCGTGGCGAAGGGGCATTACAGCGAGCGGGCGGCGGCCGCAGTGGCGCGGACCGTGGCGGAGGTCGTCAGAATGTGTCATGCTAATGGCGTGATGCACCGGGATCTGAAGCCCGAGAACTTCCTATACGCTAACAAGAAGGAGAACTCGCCCCTGAAGGCAATCGATTTCGGGCTCTCGGTCTTCTTCCGTCCAGGTTGGGTGCTCATGTTCTTCTTCTTCTTAGGCGTTCTTCAATCGGTATTCCTTTTGCAATTAACGCTGATGTCTGCTGCATTCCGAGCAGGGGAGAGGTTTTCAGAGATTGTAGGAAGCCCCTACTACATGGCGCCGGAGGTGCTGAGGAGGAATTATGGACCGGAGATTGATATTTGGAGTGCTGGGGTTATCTTGTATATCCTACTTTGTGGAGTTCCGCCATTCTGGGCTGGTAACTAGGACATTGTTGATAATTGTGTGTTCTTCTTTTACTTCTTTGGCTGTGTATTGTGTTTTCTGGGTTGTATCATCTTGAATTATAGAGACCGAGCAAGGTGTTGCACGTGCGATTCTCCGAGGAGCGATTGATTTCCAGAGGGAACCATGGCCTCAGGTCTCAGAAAGCGCAAAGAGTCTTGTAAAGCAGATGCTGGATCCAGATCCAAAACGGCGGTTAACTGCTCAGCAGGTGCTGGGTAAGTCAATCTACTGGACATTCATGGTGTAAGTTAAAAGTCACCATGATTGCTCCCATCTATGTCTCCATTTTTTGACGTATCTTTTTGTTTTTCTGCATTCTGAATATCATCCATACATGAGCGTTTTTCCAAGATAAGGACTTGGTATCATGATGGATCCAGTTTTTGTGAAAGCTGGTGATGTAAGAGGTGTTTATAGACACAATGCATTCGTGATCTATTTGGAGGTTTTAGCTATATCATGTTCAAGTCTTCTACAAGTGTTTAGAGGAGGTTTCCAGTTTTAGCTATATCATTTGGAGGTTTTAGCTATTTGGAGGTGTTTATAGGCATGATGCATTCGTGATCCAGTTTTCTACAAGCGCCGACCTGGACTTACGGTTTTGTTATTGTTGTAGTGGTAGTAGCTATATCATGTTCCAGGAACACACTTTAATGACAAAACCTAATGTTAAGCATTTCAAGTTGACACAACTTTGTTGTGAATTTCTAGAGAAATGTTCCATGCTTGTTCTACATGGGAGTGTCGTGATAACTACAATGAGACATGCTGTCTCAAACGGATTTTTGAAGAAAAGATCTGTAGAATTGTAGCAGCACACAGTGACACAATTGTAGCAAAGACGGAAATGTTGTCGCACCAGCAGCAAATGTACCACAATTTTTAGTGAAGATGGAAATATGAGGACCATAGATATTTTATTTCTTGCAACAAAACTCAAAAGTGATTGTTTAGTCATCAAGTATCTAACACAAAATGATCTAAACCGAGGAGCTCTTCTCCCAAAGAGATGAGTCCCCAGGTGTAAAGGGCCTTCATTATGGCAATGCAAATCTTAGCCTTGCATGTAGTAGATAGAAGACATTCATAATGGCATAATAGAGCAGCATAAAAGAGTTGAGAGAGGAAAAAGAAATCAATAAGTGAAGAAGAGTGGATATGCATGGCCAATTTGCCTAAAATATTCACCAACAATTCATGAAATAAAACACAAAACCTTGTGACACTGATGGAATACACAAGTTCATAAGAATCCTACTTATAGAAGGATTTTCTAGAGAGCAAAAAGAAATAAGGAAAAGAAATATTTTCTCCAGCTTCCCATACAATTATTCTTAGCCAGTCCCTTAATTTTCCATGAGCCCTCATTAGGTCAGAGGTACTTCAGATTGAAAGCACTTATCTTCTTCCCGCATAATCGAAAGAATTATTGTTTCTTGTGTTTCTTAACTTTTGGACAGTGAGGATACAAGTGTGGTGCAATTTGGTCCTTGCCTCTCTTCAGCACAGGAAGTAACTTCCAATCTAAGTGCACCATGTACCATCTAAACAATTACTGTCATAATCTCCTGTGATTTCTTTACGGAAGGTAATATCCAGCTACTATTTTGTAATAGAAACCACTTTTGAGTCCAAATTGAACTCATTACAGGAATCAGATATCCGTCTTATGACTCAGCATATCTCCCAATTCAGAAAGGAGATGGTTTGCTGACCAGGTACCAAATAGGACTATCTAAGCACCTCTTGGGAGGATCAAAAGTTTGCCCAGCCAGACAGTACCTTGAGAGAACAAATTTATTAAGTTTCCTTTGATAGGAACTTTGGGGTTCAACTACAACTGGACTTTCAAAAACCTACTTGAACTTTCTTAATTACAATAAAACTGAATAAAATTTGCTACTGAACTACCAGAAATTAGAAACTGTAACCTAGTCCTAAAACTGACTTTAACCCTACGTTGAAGATGATTCAAACTAAACCTAACTGATAAAGGTTAGACTTGAAAGGTGCTTGTCCTGAATGAAAATTATCGGAGATAAATGGAGATATACGATGGTGGATGAATGAAAAGTAGTCCCATTTGCCGCTATGGTCAACAGCAACCTGTAATATCCCAACTATTTGGGCTGGCTTTGTGGTTGTCAGTTTGGTGGATGAATGAATGGTCGTTCCATTTGCTGCTAAGGTCAACAACAGTCTGTAATATCCCAACTATTTGGTGATCTAGCACAGTTTTACGTCTGGCTGTAAGCTGACCAGTGCAGCTCTCCTATACCTGGGCTTGGGACAGAGTAAACAAAATTTAGCAATATGCATAGGCCAATTTGTTGATTAGGAAGCCTCATGTACCTCGTCTGTATAGTGCTTCATTTGTCATTTCCATGCCAACCTTTATGCAATTTTAATCCTTTTTGCAAGTTGCATATAATATTGTTAGTTCAGTAAAAATAGCAAAATTTCTTATGAGGATGCTTTTATGGAAGTTAAAAGAAAAAAAATGGTTGCAACAAGTGGCTACCAAATAGTTGTACTTTGTTTTCCATTGTGTGATACTTATCAAGCCTTTATGCATTTTTTGCTGATGCTGATTCTGTTTGGTTCACATGATAATACTCTCCTGATATATACATCTGACAGAACATCCATGGTTACAAAATGCCAAAAAAGCTTCAAATGTTCCATTGGGAGATATTGTAAGAGCAAGGCTGAAACAGTTCTCAGTCATGAACAGATTCAAAAAGAAAGCCATGCGGGTTAGAATTTAATATTCATTTCTCTTTCTATAATTAATTATACTAAAATCTGATAAAATCTAATCAATTAAACACTTTCAGGTAATAGCTGAGCACTTGTCGGTTGAAGAGGTTGAGGTTATAAGAGACATGTTTAAGTTAATGGATACAGATAACAATGGAAAGGTATCATTTGAAGAATTAAAAACTGGCCTTCAAAAGGTTGGTTCCCAACTGGCTGAATCAGAGATGAAACTATTGATGGAAGCAGTAAGTTTTTACTCATTCTCAATTCTCAGGCTGCTAATTTGTGGCATCTAAATTTTAATTCTAGATGCTCAATACGAAGATGATCTAAATTTTAATTCTCATGCCTTTGGTAGTTTTGTAACTTCATGTTTCTTTATTTGTTCTTTCTTTCTGACATAACCACAACAAATTTACTTACAAGTTGTCCTTTATCAGAATATGACAAGCAGACAAGGTTTGGTTAAAGTCATTTTTTGTTCACCTGAACTTTCATACTGGTTATAGTCATACACAATAATCTAAGGGATTTTGGCTTAACTAGACAAGAATGTTCTAAATCTTATGACAGAGACTATGGCACTAATTTATTGTGCAACATAGAGAAAGATCGGTGTTTCCATATAAAGTGATGGTGTATGCCATATTGTGAAATGCAAAGGATGCTACTGAATTTTTCAGCTGGATTAAAAATCAGATATCACAATTGGAAACTTGTATAATCTAGTTTGCTGGTAATTATTAACACTCAAACTTGGCTCCCACTTGGAGAAGAATTACTTAGTCGATTCATTAATTATTCATTTTGTTCTGGAATTACTTATGGATAAGTGGTAAGGGTTTCATCTAAGATGCATGGAATCCTGAGTTGTTAAAGTTCGAGGTAGATCAAAGTAGACAGGAAATCTACCACTTCTGTGTCTAACTAGTCAATATTTCTCTTGCTTCAGTGGCTAACAACTTGAACCATCCTTCATAATCTTATTCTAAGGACCTCCATGTTAATATGTATGTATATGTATACAAATGTATGTATATGTATACATATGTATGTATATCAGTATATGTATACATATGTATACATATATACTATACATATATACACACACACATACTCTTCATGGACATTGCCTGTTTCTTATCTCCTAAAAGATCTTACCTTCAATATTTGGCTTCCTGAATTTCAGTTTAAGTGTTGAAGCCTCTTCTTTATCTGTCCTGTGGCTATTGATTTTGTAGATACCAAGATAGCTCATTCAAGTTCTATCTTGGATGTATGATTTAAGTTCCACAGGTTTGAAATTTCATAACTAGAGGGTTTGACTTCGGTATTGATGGTTGCCAAATGCTCTTCCACTCTGTTGAGCATAGGGTCAGTGAATCTGATGAGTTTCATGAGAGCTAATGGTGAGAGGTTAGACACTGGAATGTTCTAATTTGAATATGAAGCAGATGTACTCATCGAGCTCTGCATATCTCAATTTGATATGAAGGAAACAAGCTTTAGACTGACTTTTTGACCTACCTTCAGCTGGCAGTACCTAAATCTGATCTTACTAGGCATCAATTATAGTAGAATATCAGCACCCATGTAATTGTAAGTGCTTCTTTATAAGTTTATATGTTTGTTCAGTTAGAAATATGTTCTATTCAACTAACATATCTCATACCATATTGCTATTTATTTCAGTAAGAAAAATCATTTTCTCACAATTAGTGACCAAGGTCTTCAGTCATCAAACCTCTGTCTCTAACAAGAAAGCATATAACTTAACTGATTGTCGAATTCATATTTAAAAATGTGAATAATTATTGTAGATATGTCTTTTTATCCAAAAACCTTATACTATTTTGAAAAGGTTTCATTTATTTAATATGTGTATAAACTAATTACTTGAGTAAAAACCAACTATATGATTCAATTCACCTGTTGGATTGAGTCATGACCATTTTTATCATAGCAGATATAGTATTAGGCACTATGAGGGGTCTAAGTAGGAATCAACTATCCGCGAATGAGGCAGAAGGTATATTTTGTGTAATCACCACTGGATTGAACTTCATATGCTCCCAACTAAGGCATGATTCTATATTTTGTGTTGGACCTTGGGCCTTAATGAGAATATCAAGCATTGTGTGAGGGAGATTATGACATCACAATTATTTCTTGATTGAAAATGAGAGATTGATTATGGTGGTATATGGTGATAGATGGGGTTGTTATCATAAATTTTGAGCGAAAGGATTTTAGCCCCATGTGGTCTTTGATACCTTAGAAGTTCAATTCTCCCACTATATTGGGTCGCAACAAGAGTGGCCATGGAAACCAAGCATTTTGCACAAAACACCATGGTATGATCAGTATATGGCAGGATAAAATATGATCTTGCTACATGTCTTAGTCCTATCCCATTAAGAAATCCATTGGTTTTGCTATATTGAGCATTCTGTTTAACACAACCAGACCAAAATGAACAAGGGGGACAATGGATCCTCTGCCACAAATCATTCTCTATTATTCCTTGGGCACATTGACCAAGGCTGTTGTTTTTGCAATAGATAGAATGATCGAGATTCATGTCTGTCCATTTCTATAAGAGCCTCGGCATGCATAGGATTATTAAATTCTTTCTTTAGGTCCAACTTAAGAAAGAAACCAGTGCATTCAGTGTTGCAAATACTCAGTATTGAACTTAAAGAAAGCAGTCTTACAAATTATGATTCTTGACAAAAGATTCTTTGCTTCCCCAACCAAGTCATGTGGCATCATACCTTGCCTTGATGCTAAATTTCAGTAATAAGAGTTGGATTCAAAAGATTGACAGCTAACACATGGAGAAATTTATGATGTAGGATGAATATTAAGTATCATCTCATTCTTGTGATATCATCAAATTTCTGGCATTATTACACCGGATTTTAGTTTTAGAATTTTGCAGTGGATATCTTCCTTTGTCTTATGTTTCTGAATGTTAGTTCAACCTGCAAAACATGGATGCAGGCTGACGTTGATGGAAATGGTGCGTTGGACTATGGGGAGTTTGTGGCTGTCATTATTCATTTACAAAGGTTATCTAATGATGAACATCTCCGCAGAGCATTCATGTTCTTTGATAAAGATGGCAGCGATTTTATTGAACTTGACGAGCTAAGTGAGGCCTTGGCAGATGAGTCTGGCCAAACGGACATTAATGTGCTGCATGATATTCTACGAGAAGTTGACACAGACCAGGTACAGGTTCTTCTCTCGGCGTTCTTTTTTTTTCATTTTTTTCTAAAGTATTGTTCATCCTAATATGTTTTGACTCGAGCATTGACCACACATTGGTGCTATCATGCTTTAGGATGGCCGTATCAGTTATGAGGAGTTTGTTGCTATGATGAAAGCTGGCACCGATTGGAGGAAAGCGTCTCGCCAGTATTCAAGAGAAAGATTTAAAAGCTTAAGCATGAATCTCATGAAAGACGGTTCACTTTCTATGGGAAAAGAAGCAACTGATTTGTATGCATAAAGTTGACCCTACTTATTGCGAGAGGCTGCTCACTCGGTACAACCGATGCTCAATGAATATGAACACTTCATTGGAGCTTTTATCGTATGATGGATGATGGGGTGCAGATTCCGATGGGCTAAGCATTATGTGATCTGGTAAGAAGTGAATAACTTTGTTGTGCTTCTCCATGTGCCAATCTCCTGCCTTTTAAGCTCTTCCTTTGGTTTGAGTGTATTACTGTTTTCTCTTTCAAGTTTGGTTGTTCATCTTAGTGAGGTTTGACACAGTATGGGGTTTCAGGGTCTAGTTGCTGGTTTTTGTATTGGTTGTATAGATTGGAGGAAATGAAGAAGATTGATGTAGGTACTGATTGCCCTTTTCCTTTTTTTTGTTCGTCACACGCGTCGTTCCGCAGTGTCAGTTAAAATCACAAGCATTTGCTTTGTTGAAGCCCAATTCAGTTCAGTAGACAACTAATTATGTATGGAACAATGCCTGTAAGATCAAAACTTCATTGCATGCTCATTGTAATCCAAAGTTGTTCTATTCCTTGGACCACTTAAACCAGTTATGCGCCGTGTTCTTTTGTTCGTAAAAAAATTCTTTTGTTCCTTAAAAAACAACAAAAGAAAAAGAAAGGTCACTACTTAACTATTACAAGGATTGAGATGTAGTTAGAAGTGGAGATTGGAACTTTTTGAAATGGATACAGAAGTGAAGTTTTTTTTACTTATATTTGATTTATGCATATGAGTATTTGATTATTTAGTCTCACAATGAATGGTTGGAGTTCTGACCTTGATAACTCTATGAGTTGTTATTAACATGGTATTGCCCTTTCAAAATTTTCATTAATGTAAGTGAATGTAAATAATACATATATTAGGATTATTATATTATCTCTAATATTCTTAAGCTTTAAAAGAAGTCAATGCCAATTAAAATTTCAACTACTCTCATCATTAAATTTGTGTCTAATAAAGTTATACCCAATGAAGAAGAACCTCAATTATTGGTCACCATTAAATAGCAATCTATGATCATTAGTATTCTAATTAGAAACTTCCCCATCAATCTACTTATCAAAGAAAGATACATTAGGAAGCAAAGAAAGAGAAAGTCTAAGATGTAGGCCACCTACCTGTGCCGAAGTGATTCGGCTCAGCCACTTGGTTGGATGCTGACGGATCTCATCATCAAGCTTAATGTCACTTTGTTAAGCGAAACATCCTTGTCGGATTTGCTGGCCCATTTCGGTGCGGAGCTTGTGGATCCAAAACAAAGGATCCGCACTCAATACTTTGAGTATTGGGTCGGATATTTGGGTTATCGGATCCGCGAACGTGGGTGTGGGAGTATGCGGCAATTCTACTCCTTTATAGGAAGTGAGGAAAGGGAAAGCGAGCCCGAAAAAAGTAGTCGGCGATGTCGCTATTTTGCTTCCTCTTTTCGAACGCTTCCATCATTCCAACGGGCGTCCTGTGTGCCGACATTTTGCTCTTTACTCCTTACCGAATGAATCATTTATGCATCGGTCCAATTAGATCTACAATTTGAGTGGGATCAGATGATGAAAGATATTAATTATTATAAATAAAGAATTAGAAAAAGCAGTTTTTCCTGAACAGATTCCGTTCTGCCTGATGTTATTTATATCCGAATCTAACTAATAACCCTAAAATTAAGATTGCTATTCATATTTTTCGAAATAGTAAGGGCTTTTATGAAAACAATCCCATAAAGAACTGCTTTACAACAAACCCCTCAAACAAGCCCAAAATTAGAATGCTTCACGCACAAATATAAAAGAGGGTGAAGAGGAAGAACCAAAGGAGTTCGGTTTCTTTCTCGTTCCACCCCCCTGCGTTGGGCGTCGCCATTGCTCGCCGTCCTTCCTCCTCCGTTGGGGTTTTCTTACACAGATCTAGATTTTGGGTTTCTTCTGGTCTGGGTGGGGGTCGGAGATCACATGGAGCAGCGGTCGTTGATCTACAGCTTCGTCGCCCGGGGTACGGCCATCCTGGCGGAGTACACCGAGTTCACAGGGAACTTCACTACCATCGCCTCCCAGTGCCTCCAGAAGCTCCCCGCCACCAACAACAAGTTCACCTACAACTGCGATGGCCACACCTTCAATTACCTCGTCGACGATGGCTTCAGTGAGCCTCCCGTTCCGATCCCTCCTCTGTCCCTCTGGCTGCGTTCTTGCCTTGTGTGATCGGTTCTTATTTCGCTCTTGCGTGGGTTGATCGGTGCATTTGGCGTGGGGGAAATGTTGGTTCGGTTAGTTTTCGTGTTTGCTTTGTAGTGAGATTTGGTTGATCGGCAACGGTTTTTGAGGTACTATGGGATTCCTTTGCTGTTTGCATTATTTTGGAGTTCTGGGAAGACAGATTCCATCTAAGTGCTGCGTTTTGGGTCGATTCGGGTAGAATTTTCGGAACCAGAACAGTGTTAGAAAAAGAAGATGGTCGCTCTTAGAGAACTGTAATATATAGTGGGTTTTGGCTGCTTGTGTATTATGTGCTTCAGAAGCAATTTATTTAGTTTGGAGGGAAAGAAAAGGTTGAGTTGTTATATGCTAATAGAGCGGAAGATAAGAGTACCAGGCAGTTAGAAAAGATCAAGATGAAAGGTCTGCTTGAATGTACATGCTCTTTTCATTTTAGGCATCTCATTTACATCAATCATGCTAATTCAGATACCAGACTAAAATCATTATTTTGCAAAATTTTGATGTGTTTTGACTATTATCATCTCGTAAGATATTAAGGGACATTATTGCTAACATTCTCACAGATGAAAAGGTATGTTGAACTAAGGCTTCTGTTTTTCCTTTTTCTTGATGGCACTCAAGTTGCTTGATTCTCTCATGCGTGGAACTGAAACCTGCTGTTCTCTCGTATAAACATCATAGTTTAGCTGAATAAAGGTGTTTATCCTGCATTTGTATATTTTTCAGTCATATTAACCATTTGGAATCTCTGTCTCTCGAGCTGTTTCTCTGGAAATTGACAGTTTATTATTCTCTTTCTGACACTCATTAAGATCGTTTTCTTAGCAAACGATGTGGTTAGTGTATTTTATATGTAAGATGAATCATATGTTTCAAATCTTTGGACATGCCTTTCTTTGCTGATATACATAGGAACAATTTTAGTGATTTCCTAAACTGTACATGTTTGTTAGTTGCTGAAGCTTATAACTAAATAGTTAAATCCAACTTTAGTATTTAGTTATACTTTTTGTTAGCATATATGGAAATAGTTGGCATATTAATATGCTTCAATTATTCAACCATTTATTGGCATTTATTATTGGAGAAGGTAGTGAAGCCCTCTTATCTGCTGTTTCTGTTTTTGGCTCATACAAATAATTGAGATTTACTTTTTTGTCTCTTGGAATTTGTTTGTGTTTGCTGTAGTAGTTACTTGTATGAAAATGATTTATTCTGAAACAAAAAGGAATTGTTGAGTTCATTCATCAATCATCATATTACCCATTCCCAAGAATTCATGAATAGCTATTTTTGTTGCTCCCTTGTTGTCTCAAGCAAATACAGCTGATTATTTGTTGCTTCAGGAAGTATAGGTAGCTCCTTTGTGGGCTAGGGATGTGTTTGGCAAATGCTGATCTACACAAGAAGTTTGCAGTGGTACTTTTTAAGTGTCTTAGGGGATTGGTTAATATGTCAATTTTGCTGCAATAGGATCTTGGTTATGCAAAATATTAATGTGTTTGGAATATTATTATCATGTAAATTATCAAGGACACTATTGCAACATGATATGTGGGTTGATATCTTTGATCAGAATGTTCAGGATCTTAAAGTTTAGCTGCTGCAGACTGTTGCATAGTAACTTGATTTAAATATTATTTTCTATTGAGGTGCATAAGGTATCTTTACTTAAAATTTCTCATGCCTTGACCGATTAACAGAAATTTCATTGCAGGAGGAGCAATATATGTTTCTATTTTAGTAATCTGAAGTCTTATGTCTTTTGGCTATCTTGTCTTGGGAATTTGTGGAACAGACCAGGCGATTTCCAGTAATTTGCTCAATGTTCATATATCTGGCAGGTGCCTTTTTACATATTTTCCATGCTCCCATCACTAATTTGGTGAAATATGTGGGGCTAAGTTTGTTGGGTTTGTTGGAACAGGTCACTTTCTAATGTTTCATGGGGCTAATTGTTGTTGGCTTGTTAAATCTTCCAAGAGATGTTGCTTCTTTTTATGTTTGCATATGTTTATCAGTTGCAATTTCTGAGACTGGTTTTGTAGTAGGAGCTGAAATCAGACATCAATTTTGCAGCATATGGGGTCGTTGCTGCTGAGTCGTTTGGCAGGCAAGTTCCCATTGCCTTCCTGGAGAGAGTTAAGGAGGACTTCAGTAAACGATATGGAGGAGGAAAAGCTGCAACAGCTGCAGCCAATAGTCTAACCCGAGAGTTTGGGTACCTTTTTCCTGCATCCTACTAGTTGTTGGCATTTTATTCCAGCATAGTTAATTGTGTAGTTTCACTTACATGTCAGGTCAAAGCTTAAAGAGCACATGCAATATTGTGTGGACCACCCTGAGGAAATAAGCAAGCTGGCCAAAGTGCAAGCTCAGGTTTCTGAAGTAAAAGGGGTCATGATGGAAAATATTGAGAAGGTGCATAATTTTTTTCTATTAAATTGTCCTAACATGTTACATTTATTCGAAGTTGTCATGTTGCTAATGTCTAAAATTATAATTGTTGTTCCTGCTGATTTTAGGTTCTTGATCGTGGGGAGAAAATTGAGTTGCTTGTTGACAAAACAGAAAACCTCCACTCCCAGGTGTGCAATGCATATTTGCCATATCGGCAGAGTTAGTAGGCAGCAATAGACGACGTTCATAGTTTATTTGGGGAATGATAACCTCTATTCTTTTTTCCGTTCCCATCTCCATCTTATTTTAAATATGCTGCTAGTCTTGCTTTTCGATGGTTTTAATTCTAATTGATCTTTGATGTATGGGATTGCAGGCTCAAGATTTCAGGCAGCAGGGAACAAAGATGAGAAGGAAAATGTGGCTACAGAATATGAAGATAAAACTTATTGTCTTGGGCATCATCATCGCACTAATCCTCATCATTATCTTGTCTGTTTGCCATGGCTTCAAATGCTAGTGTGGATGAATATGATACCACCCACACTTCATCCCCTATGATATATCAGAACTGGTGCTTCCAAGTACATGGATTGCGTTGTTGATGACATATGGTTTATCTGTTCCAATACTTTACAAATATTATCACATCACATCTCTTAGCTTACGGGATGGTTGGATTTGACGTTGTACGTTTGATAATTGTGCGGGTGGGTGTTGTCTGAACATTACTCTTTCTTGCTCTCCGAGTTAAATTTTCTGGCGTGAAAATTATGGTTGTGTAGTGATTTGTGAGATGCATGTCCTTACGATTGCTTTTGCCGTTTGCTTTCAATGCTAAGATACGAGAGTGCACTATGCTTAGTAATTGTCGTTTTGTCACGGTTTGATTATAGAGTATTTTACCTACGAAAGTATTTACTATCGGACTTTTTATCAAACAGTGCTCTCTAATTGGTTTTTCTTTGGAGATTTTCTATCAAATGTTCCTGCGCCTTCCACCAGTTGCCTTCGTTCGATGTTGCCTCCATCATCATCACCCCCTACTTCCACAAGCGACAACATTCATCCAGGAGGATGTGGCTACCTCTCCATTGTCTTCGTCGTGAGTTACGTAGGTCGGTGAAGGCAATAGAGAGGCAACGACGAAGAGAACGAGAGAGGAGGAGGAGGGGGGGGGAAGAGAAGGAATAGGAAAAAGAGGAGGTGATCATAAGTGGACCAATGACAGTCAAGGGTGAAGACGACAGCAAGTAAAAGACAAAGGGGTATTTTTTATCAAGTTGATGAAAAAAGGGTAGTCTCAGAAAAATAATAATAATAAATTAAGGGGCATCATTTGATAAAAGCTCAATAGTAAAAGTTTTTCTTGGTAAAATACTCTTGACTATTCATGACAAACCTAAAATATATAAATCAAAAAATATATTAATATAACATGTAAGCATATTAAAATATTAGGAGTATTAAAACTATCTTTTTACTCTATATGTACCCCTCTAATTAAATGATAAAACTTTAATAAGCGATGTGAATAATGGAATTGATGCATTATTATTATTATTATTATTATTGATTATTTTTATCCTTATATATATGGTGTCTATAGCGTATGAATGAATTATAATTGGTTTAAAAAAATTATTCTATTCGTTCTCTCTCATCAATCAAAAAACCTTATGATCATTTCTCATCGAGCATCTCGATCCATCCTCTTATATTTATAAATATAAATATTTGATCCCTCTACTCAGATAAAAATGTTTGACTTATTCGATCTGATCATGTTAGTCAAGCAAAAAAAAACAACATACTCGTTAGTGAAATGATCAATATATTTGATATCTTTTAATCAAATAAAATATTTTTGCCATGATGAATCTTGTCACTTAATCATAGCTTCGAACAAAATATACCCTTCACTTATGATATGAGCATGAAAGCAACTAATGCATTCTAACTAAACAAAACTATCTTCCCATTCATCCACTTAGCACAAAAGGCAAATATATGAGCTAATCATACAAAGTATCTACTTATATGTGATCCAATATTTAATACAAGTATCAAAGCGTCTAATATATCACTACCGAGTAATACATTTCCCTTAAGGTGTTTGTTGCACCCTAATTGAGTAAAGTATCTTATCGTACACGCTACCCTCGCAAAGACAAAGGCATTAAGATGCACCCAAAGTATCCTAACTGAAGCGTGTGATACATCCACCTTAACCTTTAACATAACAATGCACCCAATTATTCCATTTTGAAAACAGATACATATATATATATATATATATATATATATATATATATATATATATATATAGGCATGGACCATCAATCTCTACGAGTAAAATTATCTGCATGCATGAACACCATCACATGCGTGCATGGACAAATTATATGCTTGCATTGATCGAAAATACATATCAAAAGATGTACATAATGGTACCAAAATACGGACCCATCAATAATAATACCAGCAAAAGAAAGACCGACAGTTGCACCATTATAACTAGTCTACTCCTACACTAATTTCCACCTCCAATTTACCCAAAACATTATTAATAATCTGACCATTGCAATAAAATCAACTCGCAAATTAGGTAAAATCCACAAATTATATCTGCCAATTTACATTTAGTTTGACATCAATTTATATATTATTATACAATTTGCTAACCTTCTTATAAATACCAAAAAGGAAGAGAGAGCACAGCAATTCTCAGCAAGCTATCCGATCTCTGAAGGCGGAGATCTCCTCAAAAATGGGCAGCCTCTTTGACCTCGAAGGCACCCACTCGTTCAACACCAGCTCGATTCTCTCCATGATCTCGTCTTCTATAGCGAGCCCGACCTCCGACGTCGATGTCGCTGGCCGGACCTCAATCTCGCGCAGCAGCTCTTCTGCCTTGTTCTTCGAACTCGTCCCGTCACCCGCGGCCGAGAAGCGGCCGTGAGTGACATCCTCGAGCGCTCGCCGAGCCTCGTCGAGTCTGCCTTGCTTCATGAGGCACAGCCCGAGGTTGCAGGCCTTGTTGGCGTCAGGCTCGATCATCTGAGCCTTGCGGTAGACCACCTCAGCGGCGGCGTAGTTGTTCTGCTGCATGTATGCCCAGCCTAGATTTCCCTGTACCCACCCAGATGCAAACATCAGTGATCCGATGCGACCCACTGTGAGTAGCAGTGGAAGGTAGAAGGTGTTCGACCAGGATGCGAGCAGTCTCTCGCTTAATGGAGATCTGGAACTTCTTGCCGTGAGAACGTGCTGTTTTGGTCGCCTTCCCGTTGAAGGCCTCACCCATGTGTATCATGCGGAGCTTCTGCTTCAGCAGCTCGATCTGCTCCTCTACCATCCCACATTTCTGACCACCAAGATGTTGCGCCGCAATTAACACCAGAATTTTAGTCGCACTACATCTACAACTTGTGATCGTTCGCCGTACCTTGTAGAGATCGATGAGGAGGTTGTCGAGGGATTCCTGCGCTTGCTTGGAGCAGAGGTGCCTGAAGGATCTGATGGCTTCGACTGCTTCTTCGGCTCGATCCTGCTGCTTCATCACCACCGCCATGTCCTTGAGAGCACTGTCCACCCTATCCCTGCCATTTATCGCCTTCCAGAACCATAAAATTGCAGCTTCCGGATCCTTCTCCACCAACTGTTGCATTTTTGTGTAGGATACCCAATCAATTATCACTTGGATGATAGTTAATTAGTAGGATAAGTAGATATCTATGCATCATGCACTGCGCCATGCATGAGCAAAATGAGCTCACCGACAAAACAACACTGATGAGCTGCAGTAGCCGAGAGAACGAACAGGCGAAGCAGAATAAGCATCATGACAGATCAATTGATTTCATTATGTGAAATATTAAATCGATTTATGTCGAAATTGTTTCCCAAATGATCATCACATATACAATCCTGAACAGATAAAACCACCCACCAAGCTATGATAATAAGATAAGGTCAGTGATGCAGCATCGAATGAGCCTCCTCACTGGATATTCTCAGACGAGCTACTGCAGAAAAGAGAGATGGACAGATCTGGAAACTGGTACTTGTGTTTCCTTCCCTTGTTCATGCAAGATCTCACCTTTTTGACAGAACCTTGCAGGAAGACCTGTCTTCCAGATCTTGGCCTCCTGATTCTTCCGCCATGGGTGCACATGAACAGCAGCAAGCTGTCACGATTCTAAAGGTGGAATGTCGAAGGAAAGCCCAAGAAGAAGCATCACGAGATCCCAACTGCAGCAGATGGGGGGAGAACACAAAAGGAGCTGCGGAAGTGTAAGATCCGAGCATTACCTGAAGTTGCTTGGCGCGGACGTAAGGGCTGTTGCCGGGCGGGACCTTGTGGATCACATGGAGCAGATCCTTCTTCTCGCCTCCTCCGCTCCTCTTCCAATTCCCTCCTTCCATCTCCCCCCTCTTCCCTCTGCTTTCAGACTCCATTCGGTGGCGGAGGCGGTGGTGTTGCGTGCCGAAACGAGGGAGCCGAGGGTAGAGGGGAGAGACGGCACGTACCTCGACGGGAAGGCGTCCAGATTCTGCGCCGCGAGCGGTGAAATCTCCTGTCGTGCCCACTCGGTGGTGCACTACGCCACGTGGCCGCTGATGTACCGACTGATGCCGCACTCTGTTTTCGCTTACCGGCTTATGACCTGTCTTTGGTGGGCCCCAAACTTGCCTCCCAGGGTGGTGGGGTCCCCTCCGTTTTGATAACGGTACGGTGTTGGTTCCGTAATTATCTTATTTTGTATTTATATTTCTTAATGTAAATATTACGAAAAATTCATTATTTATTTTTAAAAAGTATTATATAAAATATATTCGATCCTCATTTGTGCACTCCAACATAATAAGACTTATCATTTATAGGTACTAACTACTTTAAATATCTCATTTATCAAAAAATTGGCCAAGGTTTTCCTACAATTTTCACTTCTAACTAATCCAAACATCTCTTTTATTGAGAAGTTGGTGAGGGTTTCCTTATAATTTTCACTTCTTTTATTACTTCCTTCCAACTTTAAATGGTGTCTAAGTGCCAAATAGTTGACTTTCATTGCATAAATGACAAAATGGCAAAGGAATAAATGCCTTTTTAAGGATTACTGATGCCAAATAGTTGTTACATAACCTAAGTGTATTGGTAGAATAAATAAAATATATATATATATAATTCAAATCATATTTTTATAAATAAAAAAATAGAAAGAACAGATAGAAAAATAATAATTTAAAGATAATAAATAAAAAGTAATCCTTTTTATAGACCTTCGTATGTCTTGATGAGTCATTCCATCAGAAAATGAGTCTCACATCATTTACACAAAGATATAAAAAAATTTAATCGAATCGATTCATCTTCTCAAGATGAATTATAATGTGCTAATCATTTTTTATAGGCTAAAATATAAGAGAAAAATAAAAATTTATAATCATATCAAATTAAATATATGACTTGATTTAAAAAATAATATAATTTTCATCATCTTAGAAATAAAATTGATTTCTTTATTTTTTTTTTATATATGTTAGCATGTGCTGACTTATTAGAAACAATCTACAATATAATCAAATCTATTTCCTCTTGGAAGATATAGGAAGTTAATGACTCATGCATTCCTCTATACATAAAAAAGGTGGAATGTAGCTATCAAATCAAATCTTGATGAGAAGATTTACAAGAGCCCATTGTTCCATCGACGAGCTTAGCAAATGGGCTCTATAAATCCATACACATTGGGCAAGAAAGACATGGATATCACTAACTCGGTTAGCTTACAACCATGCTGTTCATCCATCCCCACATCAAAATGCACAGATCAGTAACTCACCATGCGAAGACAATAATATCAATTGGACAAAGGCTGGCTGAGCCTGGCAATTTCATGTCAGACACTGGGCTTTCGATCTCTTAGTTCTACGACAGATCAGCAGCTCACAGAGCTTCTCAGCCGGAGAACCACCATGCACAGACAACAACAGGACCACAGATGGCTCTCAGCTCTTATCGAACACAGTGAGAGATGATGTCAGACACCTGCCTTCCTCGTCGACACTGTACCCAGTATCACATACATCTTGATCTGAGGACTGGGAGGTTTGCGAGCCATGATCTGTTCACCTGCTGCCGTGGAAACCTGTAGGCCTTTGCTCAGGCAGATGTTTCTGTCATGCACTGCTCTCCTTCTCCTGTTCCAGGGACCATGATGAACCGTGATAGCTACGCTTGCCTCCACAAGCTAATCCACCACCATTAGAATGGCTGTGGATTTCATCTATGCATCGTGTCTCTGTCACCGTCATTTTTCGGTCGCCAACTCGTACAGATCATGTCGTGATCTGAATTCGATCTTTCCCTGCCTCACTGCTAGTCCTTTTGCCTCTTGTTTTGGGTTCTTGCGAATGTTCATATGCATCCCTCCATAGTGTGGAGGTGTCCAATTCTGAAATCTCATGCACATATTGGTCATGCAACGATGCGAGTCCCTTTCGGGTACGATTTCGACCAACCAAAGCAAAGGCTGATGACATGGCAGGTGGCCATTGATAGATCCATGGAGCCCCACGTGAGGTCTCATTGGGATCCACCACCGCAGGGCCCCGCCCGGTCGGCCCACGCCTTCCTGTTTCTCCACTCGGCAGACTCGCAGCCCGAAGAGATGAGCTCGAACCCAAAGCAACACCCCCCAGAGAGAGAGAGCTTTTGGCCAGTCGGTATCCAAGCAAGTGAGCTAAAACCAGCTTGTTCTTCCTTTACGGTTCTATTTAATTAGCTCACGTTGAAGGTCCTGTAAAAGCACAGCAGAATCGCCTCCAACTCCAAAGAGCAGATAAAGAGAAGGTTCAAAAGAAGAAAGAGCAGCACAAGTATCCCCGTCCAGATATAAGAATTCCCTCAGTCATCCACCCAACCCACCCCCTTCTCTGCTCTGCTCTTCCGCCTCCTCGGCCGCCTGTTGTTCTGTGGAGAAGAAGGGGAGCGGAAGAGGATCAAGCGAAGCAGGAGGAAGAAGAAGAAGAAGAAGAAGAAAGAGGAGGGAGAGGATGTGCAGTGGTAGGTCCATGAGGGCCTCGGTCGGCGGCCTTGCATGGCTGCTGTGTCTCGGGCTCTTCATCTCTGCGTGCGTAGTTGGTGGAGGGACAAATGCCACACCACCAGTGACTGTTCCAATTGTGGCTTCGTCGAGAGACAGGCCATTGGGAGACAGGAGCTTGGATCCTCTCCGTGCAAGCAAGAGAAGAGTGCCTAATGGCCCTGATCCCATTCACAACAGGTAAATTTCGATGGCAGCATTCATCATGCAATCTTCATTTCTTCATGCATACTGAATCTGTATCGAGTTATGCTTTTACTACGAAACAGCTTTTGTGTCTAAAATGCAAGAGTCGAGTCTTTCTATGATCGATGCACAACTGTAAGGTCATGCATGGAAGGTCTTTCTTTTCTCTCTCTCTCTCTCTCTCTTTCTCTTTCTTCAATGCAAGAGTTTATTCTCTTTTCTCTTAGAAACTTGCATGCATTTTAACACTTACAATGATGGTTGTATTTCTTTTTGAGACTCATGAGTACAAAACTGGCATGCTAATTAAGGAGATGCTGTGAGCCTTCATATCCGTAATTTACCTGTTCATTCAAGATAAAGAAGGAAAACAGAGTAAAAATGCTACATATTTCTTTCTTGACTTGTACTATTCAGATCCGTTCTGCTTAATCGTTTCAATACTGTTTAAATCCTAAGACAGAAACATCAAGCATAAACAGGGACTTGTAACTTCTTTGGAAAGAGTAAACAGACAAGCAGAAGCTGATCATCCTGTAGATGTAATGCAATAGTATCAATGAACATAAAGAAATAGTTATCATACATTGTTACTTTTCCAGAGGCCAAATGGTCGATAGAGTCACCTGAAATCTTAGGCTTGCTTCGGTTACTGCACCATGCTTAATCACCTTGCTCCTCATGTGCTTCTCAGGAGAGCAGGGAGGTTCGGACGACCGCCAGTTCGCGCGTAGCGCCGCGACAACGAAGAAGAAGAATGGAAGCTTCGGCTGGGAAGATGGATTAGAGAATGTGGGTCTCGTATTGCATGTAACTATGAAATGGGCCATCTTTTAACACTCCTAAAACATTAGCCATAATATCCTTGCTTTGCCAAAGTGCTCTGCTTTGTGAACTGTTGTTGGTGGTGGGGGGGGTGTATAAAGAAGGCAGTCCAGTCCAGTCTTCCCTCCCACGGCATACGCATTCAAACATTGTTGGCAAGAGATTCTGCAGTCGCTTTACTGGTCTTTTCCTTTCCTTCGATTGTGAGAGGTATAAAGAGGTGCGAGGAGAGAGAGAGATGCAGCATGTATCGGCCATCCCGGCAAATGGATTTGCCATGGAAAGATGAGTAGGAGTAGCTGTTGTCGTGGTTGATGACGGAACAAAGACCGAGGCTGTTGTGGTTGTATTAAAACTAAGCCATCCTTGTCATGTTTTGGTTTCTTTTCACATTGTTGCTCTGTAAGTAAAGCAATCCGACCAGCTAAAGAGACTTTAATCTCACTTCTTTTTTGCTTTACCTCCTTCCCTCTGTGTGTGTGTGTGTGTGGGAGAGAGAGAGGGAGAGGGAGAGAGAGAGAGAGAGAGATTGGAGTGTGGTAAGAGAAGGGTTAAGAATTCAATAATAATAAACCAAAGATGAGAAGGGAAAAGAAAAGAGAGAGGATCCAAAGCGGCAAGGCGTCTTACAATACATGCTTTTTTCCTTTTGGGCCTCTCTTTATTGCTTCTTTTGTTGCACCAGCTTGAAGGGACCGAGGAGCAAAGACTGGGGGAGCTCTAAAGCAGCGCGGCACTGTTCGCCGGACCAGATTTGAATCTTGTCACTATCTCCGACCTGGATGTCCTACCACCTTCGCTTCTTTGTCAGTGCCACCAATCATTATCACCTGCTGCCCTCCTCCCGATCGGATCACATTGTACTCGTTCTTCTCACATCTATTTATTTGATCTTCTTTTCTTAGTGCTACTTAATAGCAAGATATATAATATTATATCGTATTAGTGTTTCGAGGTTGGCTCGGTACGATACGGTATCATATTCCGCTCGGTACACCAGGACATACCGAATGATGATTTCTTTCTCTTACTATAATACTGTAGCTATGCTACAATGTATTACTATAGCATATTCTGTCCGGTAGCTAACGGTCTATGTATCGATACGTATCATTCGTACCAAGTGATACTATTCGAAATTGCATACCATGCGTAAGAATTACTATTTATAAACCATAAGAGCTCTTAAATAATTATCAATTTTTGTGAACCTTTATGATTTATCCTTCGGAGTGCCTCTGGATAGAAGTTAACATTAAAATTTATAAGGTTTTGGTTCCTCCACACTTGATTATCAAATACAATCAACTAACTTACTAACTAACTAACTAACTAACTAACTAACTATATATATATATATATATATACTCCATTTTTTTTTATAATGGAGTATTGTATTCCTAATTAGTGAAAAAACTTTCAATAGGTAAAGTGATAGATATAGTTGATTGAATATGGAACGCGCTTTGATTTCTTTCAACCCTGATTCTATCTAAGTAGCACACACTTTGATTATGTTTGATATGAGATTAAGAGGACAAATCGTTATACTAAGAGAATAATTCAGAGAATTAATAATAAGTCATAGATATAAAAATATAGTAAATATAAAATTTTATATGATTGGATAATTACTTTGTTCTTCGTTACATAATAATGAATTACAAGGAAGAACATTCTCTCTGCTCCAATTTTTACTCCATCTCAATTAAATGTGGAAGAACTTTTCTTTCACCCTCTTTAAATCTATCAAAGGCAAACCTCATATGTACTCAAAATATCTTTTCCTATCAAAATATCGAGATATATATGGTATCAATTGAAAAATCAAATCTTTAAAATTTATGTTTATTTTTTTATATATATAACTCATTTCCTACTCGTATTCTTTGCCCTCCGACCATCACTTTACTGTAGTGGTGATGGATTATTATTATTATTATTATTATTATTATTATTATTATTATTATAATATGTTTTTATGTATGTTTTTTCTATGTATATGGTTTACAATATATCTTAAAAACATATTTTATTTGTTATCGAGCAAAAAAATATTTCTATTAGTTTTAGTATATCCAAATTATCGGTTCGATAACACTATATCGCTTTGATATCAATAATTGCTATATAAAACAATCAAACTAGTTAACACCTTCATTTTAATTACAAAAAATTCTTACTTGTACTCTTGATTTCAAATACTTAAGGTGGATTAGTTTGAATTTGACCAACTTCTATGAAAAATGAGGCAAGATAAGGGTATAATTTTCAAAATTCAATCAAACATTGGATCACTTATTTTATTTTTTAATGAAAAAGAGTAAATATTTTTACTACAAAGCTTGTCTTGTAGAAATAAACCGATTTCAATAATCTCATGTAAATATTGTTTTTATTAATTTATAAATGTGACATGCCATAAAAAAGAGTCAGCCTTTGACTTTTATACTTATTTATGAAATATTTATTTGGCATACACAACATCATATTATTTTTTAAAATAATATTTATTTATAGAAAATACTCGCTTTATTAGTAAAGACTTTATAATTTAATTTTACTTAAATCTCTAAATTTAATTAGCATTGATAACCTTTACAAACCTATCCTAATATCAATACCCTTTATAAATTTCTTGTGGTGATTAGAATATTAGATATTCTATAATTTTAACTCAAAATTAACTAATACCAATCATGGATACAAAATAGTCATCGCTTTGATGGCTTTAAGATTCGTGTCAGGGTTTGCGGGCGGTACGATCTCCGTTCGCCCCTCGCGTCCTATTTCGAAACCCCTCCTCCGCTGGGGAGGCGGGGGGCAAGGTGGGAAGGAGAGGGACATACATGGCGGCGGGAGGGGATTGGGAGCGGGAGACGGTGCCCCGCGTGATGGCGATCGTGAGCCCGAGACTCCCCCAGCGGGACGTCTACTCCGTCTTGATGGTCAGCCCATGGTGTTACCGCGCTTTCCTCTCAGTTCCCACCCTTTGGGAGGTACCCACTACAAACTATTCTCTTTGCTCTTCCGCTCTTCGTCGGCAGATCAGATTGCAGGCTCAGAATGGTTTCTATTAATTTTGACTTTCGAGGGTATTTCTTGCATCTTTCTAGGGAATTAATTTTGCATCTTTCTAGGGTATTACGTGGAATCAAAATCGTGAGAACCTTTCGATAGTTTGATGTCACTTGAATGGTTCCTGAACGATAACAGGTGGTAGAATGCTGATGACATCTGAGAAATGCGCCTTGTTTGAATAAAGATGTGTATAAGATGTGGATGCTTGATAAGAGTGGCATATGTCCGGTAGATCAATCAGTAAAATAATTGCTGTTGTAGATTAATTTGCATCTGTATGAAAGGTTACATATGTTTGCATACATATCCACATAAATACACTAGCGTCTGTGGGGGTGCTTGTGTCATGTTCTTGAATGTTGTTGATAGATTACATATTCTTGATAGGCTAAAATGGCTACATTTATCTCTAATCATTTCTTTCTTTTTAGGTTCTTGATCTACATGAGATGAGCAAAGCAGGAGAGCGACTAATATCTGCACTCTCACTGGTCAGTTTCCTCCTTTTATGTGGAATTGATATGCTTTATATAGTGATCTTGGGTCTTAATCCCGTTGCTTATATATTTATTCATTTATGGTATTAAGATAATTTTGTGTTGTTATTGAGCTTCATGCATATGTTATTTTCCAGAGAGTTCAAATTTGCAGGAGCCAGATTACTGATTTTTTTCATATGCAGGTCAGATATGAGCATATTAAAAAGATAACCCTTGAATTTGCACAGGAAGTTGAAGATGAACATCTTATTCTACTTAAAAGCCAGGTAGCCATTCTAACAATTAATTTCTCAGTAGATGTGCAGTTGAATTTAATAATGTGGTATATCCTTCATTTGATGTGAGATAATTATTTAGTTTTAGGTCACTTTGGTGTCAATCTTATTATTCCAATCCAGCTTCCTTCATAATCTTATGATTCCAATCCAGCTTGCCTCTTATGAATCTATGCTTCAAACAATTAAATAATACTAATTTTTTTTCTTCTTTTCCTACTAGGTAATCCACTTTTTAGGTTATTCTGAGTAAGGAACTTTAGTTTATGATGTAGGAGCTATTTAATACTTCTATTGGTCCAATTTCCTGATGGAAACTCCTTAGCAGAAGAGAACAATTTTTTGTTCTCAACTGATTACCACTTTGGTATATATGTAAACCAGAACTGCAAATTCATCTAGTCTGATGTGGATCAGAAACCTGTTCATATCTTGATGCAAAAACCATCTCTTGCATTTGGTTGAGTAACTCTTCAACCAAATATTTTCCACTGCATTGTATTAAGCTGGATGATATTTATTGTGAATTACATAGGAAAGATTTAATAATATTATTAAGTCGGTAAACGTGAGGCAATTAGATTGACCCATGTGGCCTTCCATCGTTATAGGAAGAAATCGATTCCCGACATAGGTTGAGTTGGTTGAATCCCTTGAGGCTCACATATTTTGCGATTCGAGATCTTGCCTATGACATAGAGATGTCACCAGTGACCTGAGGATATGGTATGCTTAGTCGAGTTCCTTGAGGGCATATCATCGAATCAGAATCATCTTGTAATGATGACGACGACTTAATCTTGATTGATAGTCTATTCATCACATTGTTAACAAATTCATAGTCTATTCCGTTATGATATTTCTCTAGCACTCTTCCACCAAAAGAAAGGATAATAACATGTTCTAACACATCAAAGATATATATATATATATATACATCTCACCTAATAACATAAAGAATATTGTATCGATAATCCTGTCAAAACTGTAAACAATGAGATTGCCGTTACATCTTAATATCTCAAAATAGTTAACCGAAACAAACTGGAAATGCATGCATGCATGCAATTTACTGTTAATTCTTTTGTTATCATTATTCTAACGAGTGTCTGGTTGAAAGAAACTAGCTAAAGCCTAAAGTTGTTCATGATTTCTACTCCATTTTGTTGTGTTTGTCCATAGAAGTTAGTATCCAAATTTAATGGTCTTTTTCTTACAGGACTTGTATGTGTCTTTAAGAGCCTAAAATATTCTTTCAATTGAATTTCAGACAAAAAAGGAGTAATTGTATAAACAAATTATCAAACTATCTTGTTTTTGACAGATTTTATTAGTTACAAGTCATTTTTGTTCATTCTAGCTCCTTAAAGATCTTGTAAGTTTGTGTGTTGTTGTATAAGTTCATGTATTGCAACTTATGTTTATAAACTCAAGCTTATTGGTTTAACTTTTCAGAGGCCTGTCATCATAAATGCTGGATTAGAGGGAAAAAATATAATGAAATAAACACTTGAATTGTCTAGGAGGTAGCAGAATGTCCCAAAAGGAGTTCATATTATCCAAAATAATGTTTTAAAAATATTTAGCTTTATTCATATGTTATGTATTGTTTACTGATTACTTCAGCGTACAGAATGGCTTGATATATTATAGTTTTAATATGTCACTGTCTTTAAATGTACAGAGAACAGAGACAACACTTCGAGACTTACAGCATCTCAATTTGAATGGCTGTCAGAAGATCTCTGACAAAGGTATTGAAGCCATAACTGCTTGTTGCCCAAACCTTAGATCTCTCTCTGTCTATTGGAATGTCAGGTAAATATATGCTTAACAGTAATTTCCCTTAATCATATGGAACATATGATTTGTTTTTATACTAATGGTACAGAAAATTGTTTTCCAGGCTGACTGATCTGGGCATAAAGCACCTTGTTAAGAACAGTAGAGAAGTAGTTAGTTTGAACTTGAGTGGTTGCAAGGTAATTTTACTTGACTGGCTACATGCAATCTTATTTTTTTCTGCTATCTTTGTCAATTTTAAGGGATGATCTTAGATTTTATATCCTGTCGATATTTTGTGTTGTATGTATGTGTAGTTATTTTTCCTTTTATTTAATCATGTATGTACATTCTTTCTCCTTTCCACATATTTATTCTCCTTATGGGAATGCTTGATAAATTCTTGGAGAAAATAACATCAGCTATAGGGTTTGTTGATGACTTGAGTGTCTGAAGTAGAGAACCTTTTTCACATGTATACTTCTCCTGGTCTAAGAATGGGATTTGATATAGTTGTGATTAATGGTGCATGAGTTTCTAAGAGAATGTGTTACCTCATCTGTGCTATTGGATGCCTATCTAAATTACCTTGGTCTGTGGTAGTCATTTCTAAATTTTCTTGGTCTATGGTAGTCATTCTTCAGATGTTTCTATGACTTGATCTCTGCAAAATAACAAAATAGTGCTATTTCCATCGGCAAATTGCAGAACATCACAGATCACAGCTTGTATCTCATTGCTGATAGTTACCATGGGTTGGAAGAATTGGATATTACTAGGTATGTTAACGCTTTCTGTGTATTTATTTGTTGGTCGTTAGTTGCTTATTAATCTGTTTCTGTTCATTGATGGTTCACTTCATTGTTATCTGAGATTTTCATCCAATTTGACCAGTGAAATTATGTATTTCTGAAGTGATCCCATGACACCCAAAGAAGGAAAGTGAAACCATAGATGTTTAGATAACTCTTCTTGCAAAGTAATAATGCATTCAAATTGTGGTATGTTTTTTGGGATTCATAGCTTCGGTAAAGGAAGCACACTTGTCGAGGCATGCCCTCGTGCTGCTGGAAATTGGCACATTATATGCCTGTAGCATGCTTTATCCATCCCCAAGCCATGTAGACATTGTAGTGGCATACAAACGATGGGGGAAGGAGGGAAATAGAGGAAGAGGTAAGGGAGATAATGATGAGGCAGCTATGCACAACTTAGGAGAGGATGTGAAACATAAAACCAAAACCCCAAAATCAAAGCAAGGTAACCTTCTCAGTGCATATCATCACAGAAATCTTGATAACTCCAGTAGGCATGAATCCATAGGGTTTTCATGGGAATCATTGATTTCTTTGATGTGTCTATCTCACTTCATTGGTCTTAGACTCATGTATGGGTCTAAGCACTTGCGTATAAAGCGCATATCGGAAGGAAACTGTTGTTCTTGTTTGAAATTAAAACAAGCAATCTGATTTTTTTATGATGTCCATTTATAAGCCTGTAAACTCATTCCTCATAGAATAATGATCTTTTAGTGCTTTTCTGAGTATTCTTTCATTCTAAAATGGGTTTTCCCTTTGACAATTTGACAAGGACCTTGTTTAATTTATGTTATATACTTCTAAGCATGAGGACTTAAGGACTAAGGTTCACAACTTTTTCATTAATTCTAAGTAGGATTGCTAGTTCTTTATGTTCTTCCTTGAGATGAGAAATGCTAAAAAAGGGTTCTACTGGCTGTCTTATAATCTAAACTTCATAAAATCCTCTTCATATTTTTAAATATTGATTGCCTTATAATATCTGTTTGCCATCTGTCTTATGTAAATTATCCTCGTCTGTTTCTCAGCCCAAAGTTGTGCATACACTATGTGTTGAGGACTCAGATTTATCTTTTTTCATGCCTAAATATTTTTACCGATTACTTTAGTGTCCTTTAGCAGCATCTTGAAATTATGCTTTCCAGGTGTACCAAGTTAACTGACAGTGGTTTACAACAGATACTTCTTAAATGTTTCTCTCTTCGGAGTTTGAACCTATATGCTCTTTCAAGGCAAGCACTAAAAATCACTATGTTTTTAGATTAAAATAGTGAACTTGTTGGAGTTTTTAAGGGAGCAAATAAAGTGTCTAATAAAGAATTTGATTTTTCTTGCAGTTTAACTGATGCAGCATATGAAAAAATAGGATGTCTGGCTCATCTTACATTCTTAGATCTCTGTGGTGCCCAGGTAGGTATCTTATTTAATTTTCATTCAGATTATTAGACTGCCACCTTCACTGACCCCAATAAACTGGTTGTCAGAATCTATCTGATCAAGGTCTTTCCTGTATAGCAAGATGCAAGCATCTGGTTTCATTAAACTTGACATGGTAAATGTCAATGAATATTATCATTTTAATTCCTTATGAAGCATAGCTTACAAGATCTATTTATGTGCTATGTAACAGGTGTGTACGTGTCACCGATGTGGGAGTGGCTGCCATTGCTGAAGGTTGCAGATCGCTTGAGCTTCTGAGGTAAGTAGTAGGTAATTTGTTTGTATCATAATTATCATTCTTCTTGCCCCGTAGGATAACTGCATGGATTATCATACAGCTTGTATGGGATCGTTGGTGTTACTGATAAATGCCTAGAGGCTTTATCGAATTTCTGCTCAAATACTCTGACGACCCTTGATGTGAATGGATGTGTCGGCATCAAGGTTGAGATAAACCTACTGCTTTTTAAAGTATTAGTATATTGTTATTATTGGATTTAAACACTAAAACATATTTTCTTGTATGTAATTGTCTAGAAAAGAAGCCGCGATGACTTGCTAAAGCAATTCCCACTGTTGAGATGCTTCAAAGTGCATAGCTAGCTTTGGGCTGCTTGTTGGCGCCTATTATCTGGTTTTACCGTAGGCAAGTATACTTGAGAGAGCAGAAGACGATTGTTATTAGTGTATCTCTTGTATCTTTGTTAATGTTCTTTTTTAAGAAACAATTACAAATATATCACTAGGGTTCTGTGGATCCTCTCATGCCATTTAGCTTTGTTGGGAGGAAGCATAGGTGATGTGGTGACAATTAGAAGATATGGTAATTGTTTGCATCCACCCTTTAACTTCCTGAGGTTGTAGCAGGGTGTTATTGATTTGATTTAATAGAGAACTAAAAGAATGTGCTACTAAATTGGTCCATGTTATCATTTGCTTTTCTGATATCTGCCCATGGCATCAACAAAATCTCACAGGGGCAACAGCACAATGGTTTTGGTGATGTGAGAATTCACCAACTTTAAATGATCATGTTGGGAATGAGTAAGCTGAGGTCATAGCAGCATTTGGTTCCAAACTAAAGGATCGGAGAAGCAATTATGAGCTAATTTTCAATTCGAAATTTATGGCAACAGATGTTTCTTCAACAGCTTTGGGCTTTGAAAGTGTGATCGGGCAAATGATCCATTAAGAGAAGTTTCTGAAGCAAGTCTAATTCTTATGCACGTCAAAATTCTGGTTCCAAGTCAGCTTTTTGCGTTCAACAAAATTGTCGGCATACCATCAGAAACAATACGAAGAATGGAAAAACTAAACACCTGAGGTATGAGCAATTGGACTCTACATGTCAGATGATGGGTGCGGGATACACCCTGCCCTCATCTTCTTTGCAAAGAAAATAAAAGACGATTTACAACAAATGTACGTTTAAATATCAAATAGATAGCACAATACAATTTGAAGTATGAGAGCAAGGCAGAGGAGTTGAAGTTTTTGAGAGACGCCATAAGAGATGGAAGGGCCAAAAGCTGAGCTGGAATCGGTGCTGTTGCTCGGTCCTGAGCTGCAGTTTTGACCAAAATTCAAAACCGTTAGTGAAACAAGAAGAGAATGCAAGAACTTGGTGCTTAAGCTAGCTAATACGGCCACTCACCTTCCAGCAAAGATGCATGATCCATGGCCTACAAGTGCACCCATAAGGAAAAAGAAACGCCAGATTAGAATTCATAACAAAGATGATGTGCATTCAAAACTAAGCTGAAGCGCAAGAACATTTAGAATATATCTCATTTCCAGTAATAATCTCATGCAAGAACCGTTTGCCAAAATATGAACCCATGAAAAAAATAGACTAGACTTCTATCTAAAAACAAACACAACACAGTAATATCCTAAAGGGGTTCATTAATTATGAACCGTAACACAACATGTTCAATGAACAAGCTTTTGTTATCTGAAAAATGGATGTTAACTATCAGATTCCCAGAACCAAACTGTTTGTCTAATTACCTCCAACATGTTTTTGGTTGATAAAACTTTTTGGTTGATATTTCCATGTTTGGAGAGGGGAGGAAGTCACAGAACCCCGTTGTCACTTATAAATTTATAGATACATTGTTAAGAAATTTAGGTATAAAAAACTTTGAGCTGATTTCAGTTTGATGTGCATTTGACAGCTTATATGGCTCGTTATGTTTATGTCAGTCAGGCTTAAATTGAGCTAGCAGGTCAGAAACATAAGATACTGATTCAAGAGAAAAAAAGATTTACAAATGAAAATTATATGGAACTGCCAACAAGATGCTTGACCTTCATATTCAGGTTAGTACTATGAAGTTTGAACTTCCTGTTTCATGAAGTTACAAAATATGACAGTGTAAAATTATTTCAAATGATATATATATATATGCTACTAGAGTATACAGTCTTGAATGGTAACATTAGTATTCACTACTTCAAAATGATTCAGTGCAAATTTAGTGTCTATTTTATATGTCAATAACTTTGCAGATAGATCTTGCATTGCATATCCAGGAAAAGAAACACAATATTAAACAAATAATCATGTTATAATGACCCAGATTTTTGGTTATTTGACTCATGAAAAAGCAAAAAACCAGCCAACAGATTCCCCTATAATTGAAGGGGAAAAGAAGGAAACTAGTAATCAGAGGATTTACTATTACCAGTATTTTTCTAAGATGTCAAGTTAAATCTGAATAAAACAAAAATGTTGTTGCTAAATATGTTAATTTAATTTCTCATAAGTATGATATCATGTTTAGTAAATTAAACAAAAGTAATTCAAAGGACAAGAAACAGCCATGCACGTTGCTGCTATAAGGACCAACCCATCCTAACATTTTGCTGGGAAATTGTAATTAAAATTTCGGGCAATTGATACCAAAAGAACCGAATTGGAAGATCAGGAACAAGCAACCACAATTTTGTTCACGGACACTTCATACCTGAACCAACCAAAGGGAACATGCACGTCAACCAATTGTATAAAGGTAGTCGCAGAGGCATCAGAGAAGAAGCTGGCAATGATATAGGATGAGAGAAACATCATGATGAGTACCAATTTTTGCATGATCAGTACTGTAGGTTTGCAGTCAGCAGGGTGGTTAGTTATTGGCCAGTAGAGTTGAATAGAGGCTACCAAAACTAAAATGGCTGGAGATACAGACAGCAAGGGAAGGATGTATTGTGCAAGCGCCACAGTAGTAAAGGATGGACATGAAATGAATGAAACGAAGGCATTTACTAACTGGTGAGAATTGTTTTGGCTTATTTAGTTGCTATGACTCTTACTTAAAGGAATATCTTAACAAATATCCACGTCATAAGAAAGACATAAAAGCCCATAAGCAGTTATATCCATGTAGATTGGTTCATCAAGAAGCAAAATATTTGGTGAAGTTCAAGAGGTTATACGTGAAGTTCAAAGAAGCTTACTAGGATTCGTAGAGCTGATCATGGCTGTGTTACCAAAACTGCACGTTCCACCACTTGCCTTCATTCGGTGGTAGTAATCATTGTACGCATAAGATGCAAGGGCAACTAGATTGCTCGCATCATAGCATGGCTCTCCTGGCAGGATAGCAGTGCAATTTGCCTCACCAGGTCCACAAGCCCAATCTAAGCCCTTCTTCAGGGCATTGGAGTCTGCACTGGGATTTGCCACACAAAATACCCCAACCAAACCTGTTGGGTCGGGTTTAGACACAGCTTGATTTCCAAAACTCAAAGAATATACAGCAGTCTCATTTGAAAAAAATATCCCCCAGTTTTTCTCCGAAACAGGTCCAGGTCGGAGATCCTCATTGAACAATTCATAGATATATGTGCTAACTGCTGTGGTTGGTTGACTTGGAGTACCAGAATTATTTAGCACACGATGGACAAGATTGCTGTTGTAGATCAATGCATTGTCGACGGTAGCATCCGACTCATTTGCCCCACCTTGTGATGGCCATCCAGATGCTGTCACAATTACAGGGATACCAGTAAAATTGAGTGACTGCATCGAGTAATAAGCAGCATCAACCATCGCATCAAACATATTGGTGTAGTAGAAATTTGTGTTGGGATCCACAATCTGATTGTTTGGATTTAAGGGCTGGAAAAGAGCATACTCCAGTGGGTATATTCCTTGTCCTTTAATGTAACCATAGTATGGCTGTGCATTTACCATTAAAGGAGATCCTGTGTTCTTCAAAAATAGGAGGTACTGAGACATCACAGAGTTCCATGATGAGTTGAAGGTGGCAGTAGATGGGGGAAAAGATTTTGGGATCATGTCCATGGATAGTGGACTTGAAACTTTGACCTGTGAATTTAGATTGGATGCCACAAGAGCAGACTGGAGGAATTGCATAGCAGGGACAAGAACAAGAGCTGCATTAGGAATTGAAGTCAGGATCTCATTACCAACAGCTATATAGGTTATGTTAGTTTCTGGAACAAACGCAGCAACATTTTTGTTGATCCAATCTGCTGCTTCTGACCGAGAGTTTCCTATCCGTAGCAACTGGTCATTGGGAACACCAAGCATAACGTCTATTCCAGTGTTTGCTAAGGCACCCAGCATTTGGTGGTTTGCATCAAACAAGCGTACATGCTTGATCTGCTGTGTTTTAAGAATTGATACTATATCTGCTGCAGATGGCAAGTTCGACACCATGTTGCCAATGTTAATTCCAACATATACACCTAAATTTGCAGCAGAAATAAGAGGAAGAATTAAAGTAAATTCAAAGACAAAAATAAATGCTGAGCACTTCTCGAAGTCTGAATACACCCATACGAAAACCAGCTAAATGAACTGAATGTACAAGGGCAAAATCTTCTCCAAATGACAGGTTTTAGCTTATACTATATAAAAATTGATTGGACCAATTATCTTTCCTGCAAACAAAAAGAACAAACAATTGGAAGAATACAGTTTGAACATTAGTGGTATGGCCACTTTCATATTGCCTAACAATAGCATTTTGCCCATCTAAGGTATGGTTTGTCGATACTTTAGTTTTTCATTGTTCACCTAATGATAAATGATAGCATGTAAATGGCACATATATCAGGGTTTGATGCCTTCCTCTCTTATCTTAGCCCTGAATAGCCTGCACTCCCCAAAATTGATGGAATGGGCTCCAAAACCCTTGCATGTACATCAAGGTTTGAGGCTTTCTTCCCCAATTTTAGCCCTAGGCAATCTCCAAATTGATGGAACTGGACTCTGATCTCTTCTGTGAGGTCTAAAATTGGAGGCTATAAGCGTTCAACACTTTAAGGGTTAAAATCAGGAAGAGCATAAACCCCAGTGCATACATATTGTGGGTAGCGGAAGACATAAAGGCCAAGTGACCAGATCTTAGGTGGAGTTAGTGCCACTTTTTGAATCACAAGTAGGCAATATAAAATTGGGCCAAGCCATGAGTGGGTAAATTATAGCTTTTCAAAATCAATATACATGGGGAAAAGATCGAAGAGAGTTGCACGTTCTAAATTAAGTTTTTTTCATAGAATTGAACAACCAAAAACTAAAGGAAACAGTTTATTTAGATTCTTTTTATTGAATTTGGAAGGAAAAAACCCTTGTTCATTGGAAAACAGAAATATGTTGAAAAATTGCAGCACAAGAGAACCATGAACTGCACAATGGTTCTTTCCTACTGTGAGGAAAAAAATCCCTGATGGAACGAAATCAACTCTAGGAGGAGCAATGCCACAGACCCAAGACAACAGGAACCACTGGTCCAGAAAGCAAATAAGTGAAACAATACAAAATGCACATATTAAATTATAAATGATATGTACCAACACATCATACAGTTGAGCTCAAATAAACCAAAGTGTTAGTTGTATATACCAAGAAAACATTTGATAGTCAGAGTTTATATACTTTGAGAAGATTCTAATCTTATGTGCATCATACAAAAAAAAAAAAAAAATTGTTGCTTCTCGTTCAAAAAGCCAAATGGAAAATAGACTACCTGATGCATTTGCGAACAAAAGTACAAGTAAAAATATACTTCTCTCCCACTTTCCCGGAACCATCTGGTTAAATAATCTTCACAGTTGACAAGAAGATGCAACAGGTACTTTGTGCTTATACCATAAAACTGGCAGATCAAGATTTAAGGGAAATCTACGAAAAACAAACAAAACGATAAACTAATTAAAGGAACATCCAAACAACTGAGATAAGAACCAAAACAAAAGATTTTCCACATTAACAGTATGATTCAGTATTACATGTTAGCTAAAGATATCATGTAGAAATGGTTTTGTCACACTACCACGAGTCGTAACCAAAGAATTAAGTTTGTTTGTCTACAGCACAAAATTTAACATCACAATCAGGAACCAAGTACGAAATCAATACAAAGATCAAAAGCATAAAAAAATGACCAATATTGATTACTCAAAAAAGATTATACTGCATGAGCAAAGTAGATTCACAAGATGCACCTAAAGCCTATACACTGTATGATGCTGTTTTACACAAGCTTTATACAATGAGTTATTGAGAAGGTGGAGAAACAAACAACTATAAGTCATCTCAAATCTCTAACCTATATTAATTGTAAAGCTTGAACAAGAAATAGATGTGTACCAAGAAATAGTTTCACTTTGGATGGTCCCATTAAAGAGGACTATATCCCATGTCAAAGGAAAGTTGTAGGTGGGACTGAACAGGAAAGGAAGAGGGTTGGCATTGCCTTAAAGAATTAGGTAAGATTTCTTCATGTTCTGATGATTTTAAATAATTTCCAAAATTAGTCATTTGTCAATTAATTATATTTTCATAGTTGTGAGTATATTTATCTATTTTATGTATATTAGAATTTGTATTCACTAATTTAATTTTAAGTTGGAGAAATAAGTTATGCATGTGTTTTCATGTTTTAAAGTTAAATGTTATTGATTATATATAATAAAACAAATTACTATGATATTTTGCATCATGAGTTGATGGTTGATGAACTACATTGATGTTATGATTAATAAATTATTTAGCATGAATTACATTCGGATGTTGAATTTCGAATTTTGAAATTAAAATTTGGAATTAAACACATTAATCTAGAAAAGGGGACTAGTGTCACACCAAACATTAGCAGGATAGATCCAATATGGACCCAACTGATGCACAGTTCGGATCCGGGCAAACATGGTGGCTCAGTGCTACTCAAGCCCAACGCAAATTAGGCCAATGTTGATCAAACATTGCGTAAATGAAACTTTCGCAACAAGTTGACTACAATGGAGCTAGTCATGTGTGACCTAGCGCTTAGATGTAGGGTTGGCCCAAGGGGGCACAAGTCCATGCAGCAAGCACACAGGGTAGGTAGGTACAGATCTTCTATCGGGAGTAATGTGTCCCCACTTTAATAGGTGATAGGCACCACTCAATAAGTTGTTAGGAGTGCAATATAAATTTCTGCATTGGCTAGGTGGTTGATTTCACATTTTAAAAACTGTTACATGCACCTTAATCAAAGCCCATCCATAAATGCAATAGACTTGGGTTTTGTTTAGGTAACTAGTCATGTTACAATAAGCAAGGATTCTTTGGGTACTGACCAGGGCCTTGAAAGAGGATCTTGAAACATATAGTAGTGGCCTAATAAGAACATCAAGAATTTGAGGAAGGGAGAGCATGACATCTGATAGTTTCATGTCAATAAATATGAAAATGCAAGCTTGTATATACCAATATTTCCATGTCATAAAATATGATAATATTGACTGATATATTGTCTTACAATCTACTACTAATGCTAAAAAGGTGGATTTGCATAAATTAAACAAAGGCAACAATACTTAGTCATGACTTCTACAGATCTTGAGAATTGCACAGGATCAAATATTCATCGTAAACGAAGTCATGGACGGGGACAAGGATCAAATCAAATAAATATGGGAAAACCATGTGCCATAGCAAATATTTGCTGCAATGTGGAATACGACACTTCATATGGTTTTCTGTGTAATCATCGAACATCTAAAACTGTCATCCTTTGTATTCATAATGTTATGTTTAATTTCCTTAATCAGCCATGATTTTCAAATCAAAATACAAGGAACACTAGAAGACTCGAACCCTCAGTTCTGATAAAACCGCTTGATTGGCCTTTGGTGTTCCATGTTAAATTCAAGTCCCATGTGGAAAACCCAATCATGGTATTTAAATAAGTGGTACACTTGAATTTGTTGTGATGCTAATGTCAGCTCAAGGTACAACCAAGATTGACCACTCACGATCAACTTACAGTAGCATAGATCTCAATTGAAGGATTTTGTCCCATCAAAATTCAACCCCATACAACCCCAAGCCAATTCCAGTTGATCCTAAGCAACAATGATCAGTTATCACAGATGCCAAACAAGCTCCACCCAATCAAATAGATAGAGTTGTTCTTGGACAAAAACTTGTCAATGTTAATTAATTTGACCGATTTCTATCCAACTATTCAACTCAAACAATTTGATTCCAGTTCTAAAGTTTAGTGCCAATACCGAATCTCATCTTGATCATCCAAACTTTGCATGACAGTTCCGAACATTATTACGAATTTATTTGCCAATAGTTTATATTTAAAGGTACAAATTGAGATACAAGGATTCAGCATTGATGTGATTGACCAAACAAGAGTCAAGTAAGCCATCAATTATATGTGCAGTGATTATTACAGAGCATGTTAGTTGTTAACAATATTCTTTATATATCTTTCGTCCTAAGTGCAATAACTTTTAACATAATATGACTAGAGTAAGCGGTTTGATTCATTATTCACTGTGAATAATTGGAGCCATGACTCAAATTCAAGTCAATCTCACTTTGTCATCATACGAAGTTTAGCAACAGGCTCACCACACACAAACTGCAAAAATCATGAATTTTTAGTATAATAGTTTTGACAAGTCGTTGCTGCTTGCTAACTAGGATAAACTAAACCACAGTCCTGAATTTCTTAATCTAAAGATGAGAATCCCTGAAAATTTTCATCTACTTGGGCTAGTACGGTCGACACGACAAACCGCAACTAAGGTTTCACTTTGCATCCGTCCACATAACAAAGACCCAGAATGAACACCCTAAAATAACTCTACTACCAGCAGCATAAATGAAAAAGAAGACATCGATCATCTCCAATACAAGGTCGTTCAAATCTCCAAATACCACGCGAACCAACACGATCAATTTCATCCTCATCGAGACAACTAGCTTTGACTTTGTAAGCTTTAAACAAACCTTCATCCGAATAAATCAACAAGCAGGAAGAGAGAAAACAAGAAAGAGATGGAAAAAAAGCAGCACCTGACTTGACTTGCAAGGCGACCGATAAAGCAGGCCGATATAATCGTCTTCCCTATGAGACCCTTTCGAGGGCGGAAACATCGGGGTCGATCATGAAGCCTTAAACCCCTCGAAAGGGGCAGAGAGAGCGCGCGCTTTATCAGGGGCCGAGAAGCGGAAGGTCAGAAGGTACGGAGCCGAGAAGATAGTGTGCTACAGCACAGCCCCGACGCACCAAAGAAACAGATGTAGGATTCTGAGGGGAAGCGCAGCGCAACAGAGAGAAAGGGGGACGCTTTTGTGGGCGTGTAATGAATCTCGAGGGGCCTCACTCCTCCTTCACCTACCATAATTTGAACTTGCATATATACATTAAATATAAAGTTATGGATATATTCCTTGAAATTTAGTCATTTAAATTGAAGTTTAAGGTAATCGAAGATCAACCTGATCGAGCACCATGTTGCTGAATCAAATTAAACTGTTAAAATATATATATAATTGGATATTTATGTTAAAAATAATTACTACGAGCAATATCATATCATGCACCACAGGAAGATTTCAGTGGAAGTCTCACCCAAACAAATCATAGGAATCGACAGAGGGTTACCATGTTCCTTTCTTCAAACGAATGCCACCATAAAATAATAGTTCACGATGACACCTCACCTACCGGTCACCGGTCGCCCGATCGTCATCGGATGGTTAAAGCACCACTTAGGTAGTGGTATCGTTTCCAGAAACGGCCGTCGCGGTGTGCGGGCAGAGGAGAGAGACCGGCGGCCGGAGCCGATCGTTGTTCCTAACCACAAGTTGTTGTACGGCCGCGGGAAGCGCGAAAGCCGATCGAGCGCGGGGGGAGTCAAGTGGGCCCCACCCCTGGTTGTGTCCCAGGGGCCCACACGCATTTATGTTACGTTATGGTACTCTTCTTCGGAGCTGGTTTTACGGAAATGTGCTTCCAAAAGTTCTGAAAAATGTGATGTATGAAATCTGCTTATTAAAAATTAAGGTTCGTACTTCGAGTCACACCTTAGTTATTTATCTTTTACAATAAAATAAAATAACATATTAATCATATAAATTTTGAGATAATAATATAATTAGCCATCAAACATCCATTTATACCACCACTACTTAATACTTGTAGGGTTGGAACATATTTAAAATTTGCATTGAGAGACTAATGCATATTTCAAACATGAACTAGTATTTATTATTTTTTAAAAAAAATTGTTGTATTGAAAATATTTAAATGATGATGCTAATGTATTTTTTAAAAATTTCAAAGGTACCTTAAAAAAATCAAAATAATTTAATGAGAAACTAATATGATTTATATTTTTTATAAGATGAATTTTTATTTTTATGTTTTAAATATTATTTATATTTTTATATTTGATTGTATTTTTTATTTATTAGATATTTTGGTCATACGAATTTCTTTATAGATTACATACTTATATTCATTTAGTTTTTATTTTACTTATTAATTTAAATAAAAAATATTCATCTTTAAAAAATTTTAAAAATATTAGAAAGATAAATTTATCATAAAATATTTAATTAACCTTTGAAATATAATTTACTAAATTTTACTTATTTCAATGCATATTTAAAATATAGTTTTAATGTACTATTTATCAAATACTTAATGCGTTTTATGACTACACATTCACTCAAATGCACTTCTCCAATTGTACATTTAATATATATTCTCATACATAGCCATAGTATCTTAACATTTTAATGAGTTCACAAGTGATATTAATATAAATTATAGTGTCAATTTATAAATTACTTATAATAGAGGACATGACATAGATCAACAACATTGACCTATATGTGAGTTTTTAGCATTTGGATATGTAAGTGTATGATAAGCATAAATTTTAAAGTATAAATACATACATCGAGTCAACGGTGACAGTATGTAAGCATGTATATTTATATATTTATATATATGGTTGTCGACATAAGTTGACAAGATTGAATAAAGAAGTATGTTCTCCTTTTCCAAAGCCAACGGTGACGACATTCCAAAATTTATAGGACATGACAACATTCAGTCATGTCCTCTTGTTTTATCTAATTCTTTCTATTCCAAGTTGTTATAGTTTGTCATTAGCTTGTGTTGTCAAATATAAAGACATTTAAACAAAAATATGGTTAAAATAATATTAGCTTATGCTGTTAGATGATCCTATGTTAAAAATATATAGGTCATGTTGTCTTTGTGCCACAAAGACATAAAAAAAATCTTGATTCAAAAATCTTGCCGTAGTAGTTGAGTTTTGGAACACTCATCAACCTAAATCCTCAATTGTTTGAGATTAAGCTCCACAATGTGGTTAGATATCATTTTCCTTAGCTTGAGTAATTTTCCAATTTTCTAATTTAAGACATTGCCTCCTCCTTTGTTTTAAATCTAAAAATGATTGTTAGTATCCTAGAATCAATGGGTAACTTTAGAATCTATTAAAATTTTAAGTTGAAATTTTACATTGCAATACTCATGTCAAACAAAGTATATAACATCTTAGCACTTAAAGTCATTTTGTGGTCTTAGTGTTCTTGCTTTAGCAAAAATAGAAATTAAAAATGTTGTAGTAGAAATTTAAAGAGCTTAATATTGTGAATACATAATTAAGTTTCATTAAATTCACTGACAAACCAGCCAATAAGATTATCGAGCTAGCAATACTATTATACGTGTCTGTAACACCCGATCTCATTCCACATCTTAGGAGAGGTGGATTAATAGAACTATAGTTTAGTCTATCATGTGTTTGAACTTAAATATTTAAGATTAACAATTTAAATTCATAAATTTAATATATCAATTATCCAAGTGGATGATATATGGATAGAAAATAGTGTAATAGACTTAGTATTATGTGTAATATAATATTTGAGTAAAAAATTACTCATTAATAAGGTTAAGAATATCACATGCTTTATTAAGGTGATCCTAAATTATAGTTTGGATTTTGATAAGGATATTAATATTTAATTTAGTTTCGTTTCAAATATTAGAGGAGAATTTAGTTAATTTATATATTTAAATAATTATATTATTATTAAGTCATTTTGGTTTTAGCTCCTTGTTTGTCTTATCTTACATGTGATGCACATGTTAAAATATGTCTTATCTTTTATGTGATGCACATGTTAAAATAATTTACATTATTATTGATCTTGAGTTTATAAGTTTGAATCGTGGAGATTCAATTCCAATTAGACATATGATTCTTTTTATCGATGTATCGATCAATCATTGATATAAATTTTTTTTTATCGATATATCGATCAATTATTGATAAGATATATATCGAGCTATACTGAGTATATTAACACATAATACATGAAGGTGTATGAATGTACTATTCGTATCGATTTCATATTTTATCAGTATGTATCGCTCATACCAAATAATATATCATGCTATGATAAACCTCATTAAATTAATTGACATATTCTAAACTATTAAAATATGCCTACTATTTTAACATCAACAATAATAATTTTGTTCAAATTGAGCAATCTATGTTGAGCATGGACAAATAAAGAACATAGAGTAAGGTGGTTGAATTATTAAATTTCAAAGCAACGATCGATTCCATACCTAATTAGAAAACTCAATCTACTTTATTGATTAATATGTCAGACTAAATTGTTAGAACAACTCATGAGCTATCATCAACTTCATTTTAGTAACCATTTCATGTAGTCAATATTTCCAAGAAATATTTTACCATCATACCAGTGGAACCAATTGTTCTCACCACAAGGACGGCTAACAATGTGAATTTGGTGTTGAAATGATCCATGTGGGAATGAGAAGACTAATCAGCATTATTATGCATGTACGTAAGTCATAAGTCAGACTTCATCAAGAACCAAAACAAAGTTAGTCTCCATAAATATGTACATACAAATACATATATAAGTCATAATAACTCCTTTTCGTTAGAAGACTCGCTCAATTAATTATTTTAATATTCGCACGTCAAACCATACGACTGTAGGACATTGATTTGGTTGGAGAAGGCATCAACGAATCAATGTATTGAATTGAAGGAATATGACTTGTCTGAAATGATTTGTTTAGCTCAACCGAGCTTGCAAAGACAGCAATGTTCGAAAGGGACCGGCAAAACGAGCTTTCTTACTTTCTTCTAAGAAATGATCATAAGCAAAGAACAATTTAAATAGTTGACACATTTCATCATACGCAATAGTTGAGTAACGATATGGCACATAAAATATAGGAAATATATATGAAGAATTAAAATCATCAAATCCAACAAAGACAATGTAATGCAAGTAGTAGTAAGATATCGTACATTGAGGAGTACAAACAACTACTTCTCGTCCATTGCCCAGCTGTTCTTCTCCTTTGGTCCGGTAGGCCCTTCTTCCCCAAGAACTTCCGCAGGAAGACTTTTGATGATGTTCTCGAGCTTGGACCTGAGGTTTTTAGGCAGCAGCTTCTCTACATTCTTGAGCTCATTCGCGATGTCGTAGCTCACCGTCGGCCCCCACTGCCTCATGTAGTTGAGCCATGAGGGTTCGGACACCGCCGACCCCATATACTCTGCCGCCACCACCTCGAAGCTGCCTCCACTGTCGATCCCGCTCCCCTTCGCGGTGTCATTCCTGATGCCAATGCCCAGCTTGGAATCCCCTTGCAGCACGAGCCCTGGCTTCGCGTACATGGCGTGGCCATGCAAGGAAGAGTACCCCACAGGCTTGTTTCCTTCTTGGAACTCTAGCTGGGAAGCGTCCACCCATGCCCCGGAGCTGTGCTGGGAGAAGTAGACCCGCCATAGCTCCCCATTGAAGTTGCTTATCCTTAGCGTCATGTGCTCCCAGTCACCAACGTGCTGCCCTATCTTCCCCAGTGGGATGTTGAGCAACTGCACCTTAGCCTTTGCAGGCCCGTTGAAGGGGTAGAAGATCCATATGACCACGTCGGTGAAGGTCGCACCGAGCATGGGTTTGATTTGAAGGTACACCTTCATGCTGGAAAGATCTCCTTTCTTGACCTTATCTCTCCGCCCGCCATCGACGGGAAGATCTATCCAGTAGGCGCCGTCGTTTGAACCCCCCTGAGGCAGGTTCGAGCCATCGGAGCCGATAGGAGTAGGATTCTGGTTTCCTTTCTGGTACAGGAGAGCTCCGTTGTCGAATAACCAACTCACGGATGAGGGGAGGTACTCCTCATCCGGGTGGTAGTAGATCCATGGTGAGTAAGCTTTCATGAGAGCCTCCGCCTGCATCATGTTTGGCATGGAAGTGAAGTTGGATGCCCTGTTCTTCAGACAAGCCAAACTTGTGGCAGTCGTAGCTCCGTTTGCTTGGGCTATGAACGTTCCAACCGATACGCCAAGTGCTTTGATGCCCCTTGTAGATGGTCTTAAGCCATTGACACTGAATCCATCGGTGCTCCATACGTACGCGTCGCTCTGGGACTGATCAGTTAGGTCGCTCCTCACGCACCTGATCTCCTCGACCGACGGCTTCTCCGACGAGTTTGTGACTACAAGACCGACCGCCGCGTAGCCTTGAGGCGGTGTCGGCAGCCAGAAGTAGCCACGACCGTCTTGTTTGATGGTAGAAGACTCGCTGCTCCAAACAAGCGTGTAGTCCGATGGCTTTGCAAGGGCGTCGCCATTGCCGGTGTCCGTCGCGACCAAAACCCAGCCAAAGAGAGGCCGGTTGTTTGGTTGGGCGTAGTAACCCAGCACCGAGAAGCCGGGGGGGACTGGCGAAGGCCTAAAGAAGGTTGCACCGAGATCATCTTGCCCTCCTCCACGCACAGCCCAAACTTTGGTGAATGTGGAGACTTGGCGCACCTCTAGACCTCCAAGATCTATTCTCCCTTCGGCAAACTCTCCACCTAAACTCCAACATACATCAAGTAATCAAGCAAGAGAGAAGGAAGAACAAGATGAAGAACAAAATATTTAGCAGGTCGATACCCGGTGGCCAAGATGGCAACGGAGACGGAAGCCTAAAGGATGTATCGATTGGGAGAGGGGAGAGAGCTCCGGTGGCAGTGGTGTTTCCCATGGTTAGAACAAGATATGGTGAAGGGTGAAGGGTGAAGGCCACTGGAATTTAAGGAGTGGAAGCTCAAGCATATGCCGCAGGTATCAGAAGGAACGTTGCTGTAACGTGCAAGGAAGCATCCACCTAATGTAGATAGAGATGATCTCAGAGGCTGGGCAAAGCCACGACCTCATTTGAAGCCTTCAAGCTTTCTTCCTTTGTTGCTCCTACCTGTTGGAGTTTCGATTGGAGCAACAAAGGGTTTCTTAATGCACATGTTGTGAGTCTGCAAGTCTTATAATAACGATAACTACAGCAATGTGATCTATTAATTTTATGCAGAGCATTACGGATAGGACAGAATGCATCAATCCCACAGGTAAAGGTCCAGCACAGTTTAAAACTGTTAGGAACTTTGGATGGTTGGCTTCAATGAACAATATAAAAGATTGGAAAGAAAAAAAAAACTAAACATTTTTATTCATCAATGGCTCTGAATCTTTCTACCAATTACATAGATCATCTGTATTAGTGGTGTATGTGATTATCACATACCACAAGTTTAGGATAAGCCTAGTTGACCAACATCATGGATTTGATGAGCATGTGATCTTCGTGGTCCTATCATGATGGATATATGCCCACCTAATGAGACAGACATGTGTTTCACGACAAAAATCAATAATCAATCATAAATTATGATTAATTATATATTATTCATATAATTAGTTATATTCAGTATTTTAATTTTTATATTTTTTTTAGTTACATTGAGATTTCTATATTTATGAAAGTGAAATATCTAATCTCGTTTTTTCTCATGTCGTCGAGTCTGTTGAGGGGAATACGACATGTGCTCAATGATAAATTTAACCGAGGTAGAGTCAGCATATGCTCAGTAATAAACTTTATGATATTTCAATCAACAGAGTCGACAGCATGAGAAGCAATGAAGTTAAATGTTTCACTTTTATAAGTATATTAAATAAGAATCTAAATAATATAAGGATGAAAATATTAAATATAGTTAATTATAAAGATAATATGTAATTTAATCCCTAAATTATTTTAATTTATGGTGCATGAAATCTGATCCAACAATGAAAATTTTAGGTCTTTAACCTTTATAATTGATATTTAGTTGATAGGATTGAGGTTTCATGTGCTACTGTAAGAAAATGATAACACAATAATCATCATTTGAAATGCCAATAAATATTTCAGTACACCTCGAAAGATCAGTTTTCTTGCAATAGTGCTTTTGACATCACATTACATCAGGGCACATGAAAAATAGTTTGCATGATGTTTAACCCAGTTAAGACTGATTTCATTTTTAACTTCTGTCTGAATCAAACTTATTTAGACTTGACTAAATTGATATCATAATCATATCAAATTTGGGAGTCATGGCATAGTTTCCTTGATTGGACCAAAATGTGTTGGTCCCTTTTCATGACTCCATCTAATTATAATTCTGATTTGACAAGAAATGCATCTTATTCTAGTTTGAAATGGCAATTGGGTTTGATGTTAACTCGAGCAAAAGATGACTATACTTTTCTGATTTAGTGATATTGAGTAAGTTAATTTTGTATGAGTTTGTAAAATTATTAGGTGTGTAGAATATTTGTTGTTAGAATAGAAACATTATCAGGGAGAGCTGATTTCCTCTTTCACAGTTGGTTGATTCTATTTATTTAATTGTTTTGTGAGCTGATTGTTTAGAGATCAATTATTTATTCACCCAGCTTTTAGATTAACTTGTTTGATGCTCATACAAACATATGTGATTGTTTAATCATGGTGGAAACAGCTTTTGGAATTCAGTCTGGTTTAATGAGTATTTCTCACCTGCTTACTAGAGATCTTTGGTACTTGTAATTGGTTGTATTGGGGTCATTCTCTTAGCTTTAGAAATGCTAAGGACATCCAACTAAACTAAAAAGAGAAGAATTGACTGAGACTAAAGAGATTAGACTGCACTTTATGATGCATAGACCACTAAAGATCATACAATGAACACAAAAAAAGCTAAAGCTTGTTTTCCATTAGCCATTTAATTGTATTTTGTAGTTGATGAAACAAACTAGTTACAGTATTTAATTGTTTTGGATCATCCCTATGCCAACGGGATTATAATTGTTCTTCACGAAGTTTGAGCTCGAGAGCCTCTCCGTCTCTCATATAGATTAATGATCTTGGTGCTAATCGAAGGCTCTTAAATGGTACTCAAACCCAGGCTTCAATTTGTCTAAATTTGTTTCTCACACAGACTAATTTGTTACAATCTGCTATTGCTCTCATATGTCATCTGCAGAAGTTTGATTGTCTAAGTTTATTTTATTATTGTTAAGTTAAAAGACAATTGTTTGAATCAGATGTAGGCTCTAATTTTGACTCAGATTCAATTAGGGACTTATTTTACATTTGTTTATTGTCGTATCGACGATCGAAAAGATATTGAATCATGTAAAAAAAATACTAATTAGTAAAATTTTTTATCTATATTTTTGAACGGGCTTGAAAATATATATTGATGTCTGAAATAATTTTCATGTTCGTAATCCAAATGAAATTAGGTTGCATCAAATTAAAGAAATATGTAATAAAATATGATGTAGTTGATAATGTTTCGGAAGTTTCGTCCCGACAATCACACCACACTTGATGAAAATATTATTGATGGAATTTTGAGATGTCGATCACTTGATATCGAGTTCCCAACCATCTAATATTGAGTTATTGATCATATTATTATTATTTTTAAATATTTTATTGATAAACCGTAAAAAATAAATTGGAGGATTTATTATTATTATCATTAGTTATTTTATAATTATATGTCTCTTAAATTAAAATAAATTGAATTATGGGGACGAAGTAATTAATGCGTTTGGGTAATTCGAACAAGAGATTCAGCTTTGCAAATATTAATAATTATAAATTCTAAACAAGCTCAGAGAAAATAAAAAAGGTTATCCGTCGATAATGACAAAAAAAAAGAAAAAAGAAACGTTTATTCCACATCGATAATTAATTGTAATATTATATTCTTGATGGCGAAGACGAGAATCGATGATGGAAAAGAAACGCGTCGACTTCCAGTCGGACGAGTCTTCAAAGTAATCAGCAGTGTGAGCACAAGTGCGAAGACCGACCCACTGGAATTATCCGCAGATGTCGAGTTAAATCACCCTAACAATCCCTTGGATCGAAAACCACATCGTCTTCTCGTATCTCTTCGCTGCTATCCTCGGCTATTGGCAAGAGAGAGCCGTCTCGGGCCCAAAGATGGCGGTGGGAGGATCGGAAGTGGAGATCCTGAAGCCCCGCTGCGACAAGAGGGAGTACAGGAGGATCGTCCTTCCCAACTGCTTGGAGGTCCTCCTCATCAGCGATCCCGAGACCGACAAGGTGCCCTATTTCTTCCTTCTTAGGTCTTTTTTTTTTTGTTGGCGGAAGTCCCTATTGTATCTGTCTCTGTGGTTCTTACCTCAGGCTGCCGCTTCCATGAATGTCTCGGTCGGTTCTTTCAGCGATCCTGATGGCCTCGAGGGTCTGGCTCACTTCCTTGGTAAGTGCTTCGTCTCTCTGCCTTCCTCGTTCCGAGGTATAAGGGAATTTGATGTAGGTATATTAGATTTTGGGATTGGCATATAGGGCGATGCATATCTGATCCGTTGTTGCTTTAGTCATATGGATGAAGTATAATTTGTCTAGATAAGGCACATGAATTATTGTGTTCTATACTTTATGATTGTTAGTCTCCAGAGACAAATTCCCTTTGAGATTGTAGTTGTCATTGGTCTCTTCTTGGATGGTGCACAGTTACTCACCTTGCTTCTGTTTTTGTAGAATAATTGGGCAGTTAGAGGAAGATAAGTCCCTAGATCATGATTGTCCGTTTGTAGCACCAATACTACCTCAATGTCAAAACAAATCCTAAAAATACTGTTGATTTCAATTTAAGCTTATTTGCATCTGAAAAAGGTTACATGTTACTAATCTTGTCTTATTTTTGTGATAGAGCATATGCTATTTTATGCCAGCAAGAAATATCCAGTGGAGGATAGTTATTCAAAATATATCACAGAGGTAATTAATTCTCACGTTGACCAAGGTTTGTCATTTGTTTCATTGCTGCTTGCTATGATAGGTATCAATAACAGAGTTTTATTCTAATGCCTTCTTTTTATAACATATACCTTGTTAAAATCATCTATCTAAATCTAGGTCATTTTGTTTCTAATTGTAAATTTCAAAATTTTTTGGGGTGAAAATTATGGCAGTTGTTTTTCTTTGGTTTTGTAGTTCTTTGTTTTCTGTAAAGCAGCTTTGTTGAAAGTTCTAGGTGCTAAAAGGCACAAAGTCCCAAATTGCCTGAGTTGCTAGGCCTAGCCTGCCCAGATGCTCGTTTGAGCAAAGCAAGATGCTCATCTTACAAAAAATATAAAAATATAATGAAGGATAAAGATAATTGTTAAAAAATAAATTATTCATTTGTTTTATATCACTACATATGCAAATGATTACTTAACAAAATAATAATTAAATTTGTCCACATTTATGTAATAAAACACAAAAACTTCAGACATCTTTTAGTTCAAGAGAGGAGATGTAAGAGAGTGGGGAGGGAAGCAACAACAATATTTAGCCTATAGAGAGTGGAAAGGAGAAGAGAGCAAAGAGGAGGAGATGAAAGGTAAAAGAAAAAGCGAACAGGGAGGTGGCAGCACATTACTACCTAAGAAGCTTTCTAATGACCACCTGCAACCATAATTTCCTTTAAAATGGAATTTCTAACAATACCAATAGAGCCATTGAGAGCTCACCCCCACAGTGCTAATGGAATTTTAAGAACATATTCTCTAAGTCATCATAAGTCATGTTTCACAACAAGTGTTAGAGATTCTAACCGAGTTGCATAGCCAAAACCAATTTTCAGCCCATAACAAAAGGTCTAAGATCTAGTTGGTTTGTCACTAATATTATATCTCTGTTTCAAAATTTGTGTTAGTTTTGTCTCTTTTCCAGATATGTTGATACATTCAACAATGATGGAGGGGTCCAGTCACCCATGTGAGAAGAAGGAATACGACATAGGCAGTAGTGGAGCCCCTGGTGAGAGATGTGAGGAGATAGGAACAGAAGGAAGAGAAGTGGAGCAGATATATTGGTGACACTGGAAGATCGATCATTGATGGCAATGAAAGGTTGATGATAGTGGTAGAG